AGCACAGGCTGTGAGATAGGGGATTCGATATGAGATGAAAACTGAACTAGATATGATGTCACTACAGATATCTCATCTCTTCCTACTGTGGGAGTCTACCCAAAAGTATATTTTATTCTTCTTCCTAGTGAGCATGAGCACTCAACCACTTAAAAGCCTTTCTTCAATAGTCAAGTCTTTTTTTTAAAAAAAACAAAAAAACAAAACAAAACAAAACAAACAAACAAACAAAAAAATATATATATATGTTCTAGGGCTGGGGTTATGGCTCAGTGGTAGAGCACTTGCCTAGTATGTGTGAGGCACTGGGTTCAATTCTCAGCACAACATAAAATAAATGAATAAAATAAAGATATAAAAATTAGTTTTCATCAGCTGTATTTAAATATATATATATATGTACTATGAAACAATATCTTTATTAAAAATATATTGACAGTCCAGGCACAATGGCAAACATCTGTAATCCCAGCAACTCAAGAGGCTGAGGGCCAGGCTTGGCAAGTTTGAGGCCAACCTCAGCATTTCATCAAGACCCTGTCTCAAAATAAAATGGTCTAGGGATGTAGCTCAGTATTAAAGCGCCCCTGAGATTAATAACTAGTACTACAATTTAAAAAAATGCACACACACACATATATGTACATTCACATTTATATAGACACAGATGAATCAAAGTCTCCTTTGGAAAGCTCTCTCAATTCCCCTATCCCAAAAGGATCACAATGTTATTATTCTGATGTGTATCTTTTAAAATATTATTAATTGTATTTGCATTGCATTTACTCAGGCGTACCCACAGGAAACATAGTATTGTTTTAAGTGTGTATGTGGGGGATCATTTTAACATAAATTATATGTTATTAGATTGGGGATATAACTCAGTGGTACAGCACTTGCTGATTGAATATTTTCCTTTTTCATTCAACAAGTGCCAGAAAGCTTCCCGTGTGATTATATGTAGATTTGTCTATTTTGAGTAATTACAACATAAGAGTTTATAGTAATGACATGACCCAGTTTATTTAGCCATTCCCCTATTGCTGGGCACTTAATGAGCTCCAAGTTTTCCTTACTATAAACAAGGCTATAATAAACATTCACAAGCCTAACTTGTACACATGAACAAGGTTTCTCTAGGGGAAACAGTAAGAAGTAAACATATTAGATCACAGGACATATTCATTTACAATTTTAATAGATGTGCTACCATACTCTCCAAGGACACTGTACCAATTTATATCTCCTCCAGCAGTCACAAGAGAGTCCATGACCCCCAATCTCACCACTGAAGTGTCTGCCTGGATTTCCTTCAAAAGTGTACAAATTTTTATGTTTGCCAAACAAACCACACAAAAAAAGTATGGTGCCATTATTTTAACCTGCTTTTCCCTATCTACTGGCATGGCTGAGCATCATTCTATGCTCACTTGCCATCAGCAGCTCCTGTCCAGAGAACTGTGTCTATACCCTTGATTCAGACTACTTCATCATGGGGTCAATGCTCCAATCTCTCAGTCTTTCACATACCTTCTCCTGAATCTGGCCTCCAATGCTCCGCAGGGCTTCCTGGAAGACTTTGTTCTTGGGTTCTAGGCTCACACATCTCTGCAAGTCAAGGACAGCTTGATCCAGGCGGCCCAGTTTCTCTAGGGCTTGGCTCCTCCGGTAAAGTGCTTTGACATCCCCACCGTCCTTTTCAATGGCTGAGCACAAACAGGAGCTCTGTCAGCACCCATGAGGCCACCGTCTCCAGGCAAGAGCAGGAGGGAAATATCTCCAGAGCCAGAGGAAGGTGGGGGGATGCGTGGGTACTTCAGCCTCAGAAAAGGTGAGGGTAGCTGTGGAAAAGGAAATGCCCAAGGGAGTGGGAAAGAAAGAAGGCAGATGTGTTTCAGGGTCCAAAGGAGAAGAAAGTAGATAGATAGTGCAGTGCTCCCAGAGTCCTTGCCCACCAAAGAAGCCCCACAGCTCCACGTGAGGGCCCATATTCCCTTACCTTTAGATGCCTCCGTTTCTGCTTTATCATAATCTTCCTGTAGAAAAAAAGATCAAAAGCCTGAGAGAATGGTCATCTCCCTTTCCAGGCACTAAGGGGACAGAAGAGATACACTTGTTTTCCAGAGTCACCCGATCCCCCAACACCCTGAGGCCCGAAGACTTCTGGCAATCATGGCTGGGAAAATCGAATGCCCAGATCAAGCCCAAGCAGCAGCAAAGATGGGCCAAATAGGGCCCCACGCAGGCCAGGGAAAGAATGGCAAGCTTCCCTCACCAGCTTGAGGTGACAAGCAGCCAGATTCCGGTGCAGAATGGCCTGGTCCTGGGGCGTCGCGCCCAGACCTAGGGCCTGGGTATAGGCCGATAAGGCGCCCTCGTAGTCTCCGCATTTGAACAGCTCGTTGCCCTCTTTGCGCAGCTGCTCCACTGAGCTGGCCTGTGGAGAATGGGATGGAAACGTCGGGGAGGCAGCTCAAGGAAGAACAAGGGAGCTAGGAGAGGGGAGCAAGGGTCGGGAGCGGGTCCAATCGAGGGCTAAGAATGGGAAAGGAGGCCAGAGGATGGCCAGAGTAACTGTGAAGGAGAGATGACAAGGAAGGATGACTACGCACCCCGGGGACGACGGGTCGGGGCTCAGGGGTCCCTGGACCACTCACAGTCATCACGGAGCCGAAGTCCCGGGCCCGCGCAGGCGCAGTCTCTGGGGCGGAGGTGGCCCTGGGCTCTGGAAGCTGCCAGTGGCTGACGCGCCCCAGCTCTGAGTCGGAGGCGGCGTCAGAGAGGGGCGGGCCAAGGAGAGCGCGACCGGGCAGGGGCGGGGGGCTGGAGGGGAGGTTCCGCCCCTCTAGCCCGCGCACCTAGTTTGTGAGCTCCGGGACCTGCAGGGGGCGCGCAGCGGAGGAGCCAGCGGAGGACCTGCGGCGGCTACAGCTCCGGCCAGCGCCCCGGCCCCGACCGCTGCAGAAGTGCAGGAGGTCTGCGGTCATCAGGGCCACAATCAGTAGGCTGTAGAGGCCCAGGGCTAGGAAAGCACCCGGGCCCCTGTGGGAGAGGGGAGACTATCAGGATAGTGGCAACCGTTTGTTACAGACCCCTGCGAGTCTGGAGAAAGCGCAGACGCCTCTCCCTGAATAAATTTGCACACACACATATTTTGCAAAGTAACATTTTGGAGTTCACAGATACCCTAAAGCCACCCATGGGCAGATTCAGAATTAAAACCTTCTACTACAATGTGTGTAACACACGGATTAGAGCACACATCCTTTCCGCTTACACATTGCCCCCAGCCCCCTCCACTTCACAGCATAAGCTAATGGCTTCTGGTTGCCCGCTTTCACCACCCCCTAAACATTTCCTTCACAGTTGTTTGTAATTATGATTTACGTGATTTTCGGTTTGCCGTCTGGCCCTCTACTGGTCTGCAAGTCACAAGTCTCCCACCCCAGAATTTAAGGAACAAACTCCCAGACACTGGAACACCCTGTTCCAAAGGCTCTGGGGCTGGAGTTCTCACCTAAGGATGGGTGGCGGAGGAAGAGCAGACAGGTTGACTTGGTATAGGGCCTCAAATTCATCCTGGGTACAGCAGTAGCCCCCTGCAGCCTGCAGGTGACAGCAGTAGGCTTCCTCGGGAGTATCAGAGAGCCGGGGACAGAAGAAACCAGGGTAGTGGCGGCCTTCAGCATCCTGGGTGGTCTGGCACAAGTTGGGATGGTAAGCCAATGCTGAAGAGACAGACAAGGGGTCTGGAGACAAAAAGGAGGAGTCTGTCCAAACCCCATTCCACAATTCCCAGAAAGTAAAAGGGATCATCCCCTACCAAAACATAAGGTCCCTTCTTCCCCTCCTCACCAACTCCCCAAATAGCTCATACCACCTGCAGGGGATGAAAGAGTGCTGTACCTGAGAGAGATGTGGGTTGGGCAAAGGTCATCCAACTGAAGAGCAGTAGCAGCCCCACTGACAGGCCTGTCATCAAGGGGCCTGGCCTCCTTTTTTGGAAGCCCATGAGAAGTCACCTCCACCTCAGCCTTGATTCTAGGAACCCCATCATCTTTCTATCTAAGCCATGACTGCAGAAAACAAGAAATCAAAAATCAAAGGGATGGAGATGTAGCTCAGAGGTAGAGTGCTTGCCTAGCATAAACAAGGCCCTGGGTTCAATCCTCAGTACCATAAAAATTTTAAAAAGGCATTGGCTTGGGACCATAAGTGGACACATTCCTATAATCCCAGTTACTTGGGAGGTTGAGGCAAGGAGGATAGAAAATTCAAGGTCAACTTGGGCAACTTAGCAAGACCCTATCTCAAAATTTAAAACCAACAGAAAGAAAGGCCTGGGGATATAGCTCAGTGATAGAGCACTTGTCTAGCATGAGTGAGTCCCTGAGTTCAATCCCTAGTACTGAAAAAATAAATACATACATACATACAAAAGCACCAACACTCTTAGGCACCATTAACACAAACCTGAAGTTCTTCTACTACAGGCTTCTAGAGAAATGAAAGCCACTCAGTTTTTATCTCCTGCTGGAAAAAGGCCTGTACTTTTAAACTACCTAAGGTTTTCTGAGCAAAAGGGGAAAAGGCTCAGAGGAATAGAGGAGGGACTAAAGGATGAGACCAAAGATAAGCCATTGGCCTGAAAAATAGACAAGTATTTAGAGACAAATATATCGCTATCTACCTACTCTTCAACTTCGAGGCTGCAGTGGAAGCCCTGGGAATTCAGACGGTTCCATTTCAGGACCTCTGTTTTCAGCTTATGGAGCTTCCCTCCCTAACCACCGCAACGTGGCAACCACCAAATCTAGCTGAAAACCAAGGGTGAGTCTCTTCATTAACTTTCCTCCTGAGCCTCATCTCCCCCAGTTACCAGCCAAAACACAAAAAAATACCTGTTTGATTGGAGTATACTTAGCAACAGGCCAATTCCAACTCACAGGAAAGCCAGCTGGGGCATCTCCAGGTCTCTATGACCCCTCATACCTCATAGCTGCCAGGTAATTCCCTAAGACAGGGAATTTCTCCAGAAGACCCAAGCCACCAGCCAGCAGAGTTAATTAAGTGTTTTCACAGAACCTATCTAGGCTAGACAACATCAAGCTCCAAAAACATCAGGGACAAGACTCAGCACCCCAGGGGCTCACAGCAGTTACCTAGAGACCAAAGCAGGGGCTCGATGGAACAAGAAAGCAACTCAAATTTTACCTGAGCACTGAAAAAAAAACAAAAACAAAAAACAGTCCTGTGGAAACACCACTGCTGACTGGAAGTCTAAATTTGAAACATTTAGGCAGGGATCCCAGTTTAGGATCCAATTTTCCAGAAGGTCAGGCCCTAGGGTCTCTTAGGCCCAAAGGTGGAGCTGGTTGCCCATAGTAACAGGACCCACATCCTCAGGGAAAACTTTATGGAGCCCTTTGAAAATGTTTCAGAGCACTTACAGGTTAAAGATTGCCTTTAACTCTTGGTAGAACCTGTCTCTGACTCTGAGACTAGTTGAATTGTTCCTTCTCTATGGATCCTGTACAGTCTCCTATGCCTTAGAGTACTGGACTCAGCACACTGTGAGGCCACTGCCTTATTTCCAGTTTGCCCTCCCACCTCTCTCTACAGATTATGGGCTCCCAAAGAGCCAGACTATGTTTTTCTTTATTTTCTTTCTTTATTTTTATGTGCCGCTAAGGATGGAACCCAGTGCCTCACACGTACTAAGGAAGCGCTCTACCACTGAGTTACAAACCAGCCCCAGACTGTTGTCCTTCTTGAACCCTCACTGAAGCACCCTGAATAAGGACTGTGATGCTGTATGAAGCTCTCCATACCAGTCTTTCTCTGTGCCATAATTTCGGTTCCAAGAGAAACCAGTCTGTGGCAGCTTGTTAGAATCAGAGCCTCTCCAATCCCTGGGCCTCCGAGGCGCAAGGAGGCGCTGTAAACGCTCCAATCCAACTCCCACAGTCCCCAGCGCCATCCGCGCGATGGGCTCTGAAGCAGCGCAGCTGCTGGAGGCTGCAGACTTCGCGGCTCGGAAGCATAAACAGCAGCGTCGGAAGGATCCAGAAGGGACCCCCTACATCAACCACCCCATCGGTGGGCGCGTCGATCAGGGAGCACCCCTAGCGGCGCCTGGGGGTGGGGGTGGGTACTGTGAAGGGCGTGCACCTCATTGAGCACCTACTTTGTCCCAAGCTTTGTGTCAGACACTGTTTGTGCGGTATGATTTAAGCCTCACAACAACCCGGGGCAGCAGGCATGATTATTCCCTTGGTTCGGTGAACACCCCAAGAGAATAAGGGACTCGCTCAAGGTCACTCAGCTAGTGAAGGGCTACATCTGCCTCTCCAAAATCCAAAACAGTGAGGCTGTCTCCGATCCTAATTCCTGCTTTGCCCTGCCAGGTGTGGCTCGCATCCTGACCCATGAGGCGGGAATCACTGACATTGTGGTCTTACAGGTAACTTTACCCCCTCTCTGCCAGGAGGTCAGGGTGGGGATCAGAGGTCCCTTTCAGCAATGGGCACCCCTTGGTTGACATCACAGGACTGAAAGGGAGCCTGTCCTCAGGCGGCCCTGCTTCATGACACAGTGGAAGACACAGACACCACCCTGGATGAGGTGGAGATGCACTTTGGGGCACAGGTGCGGCGCTTGGTGGAGGAGGTAACAGATGACAAGACTCTGCCCAAGCTGGAGAGAAAGCGGCAACAGGTGGAGCAGGCACCTCACAGCAGCCCAGGCGCCAAACTGGTGAAACTGGCAGACAAGCTGTACAATCTGAGGGACCTGAATCGCTGCACCCCTGAGGGTATGTTTCCCCACTGGTTCTGAGGGAACATAAAGAGATGTCCCCCTTTCAAAATCACAAGTTAGTCATATCAGTGGGGGCGGGGGGGAGGTCTAGGCATTCTCAATTCCCCAAACTAATCCTACTAGAATAGTCTTCTTTCATAAGGTGAAAATACAATAGCTGGGCCAAGAGGAAGTTTTCAAGACAAATCATTCCATCAGGAATTCATCTCATGGCCCTGTACCAAGCCCTCCAATCAGTAGGCAAAAGGCAATGTTGTCCTTGGCATCACCCTAGCAGGTTTCTGTCCACTCTTATGCAGGATGGTCAGAACATCGCGTCCAGGAATACTTCGAATGGGCAGCACAGGTGGTGAAGGGGCTTCAGGGAACAAACCAACAACTGGAAGAGGCTCTAAAACAGCTGTTCAAGGAGCGTGGGCTGACACTCTGAGCAGTGCTGGGAGCCATGGGTGGTACTGACTCCAGCCCTCCCATGCCAGACCCGATTCATACTTAAGTTTTTCAGTGCCTCCTGATCTCCCTCCATGCTTCACTCAGCCCAGATATTGAAGGTTAAAAATATTTGCTTTTTCTTACTCTGAAGGTTTCCCACCAACTAAACTGAGCCTGGAATGTGGGAAGCAAATGTACTCCCTCCATTTCTAACCCAGTCACTGCCTTCTCCTAAGTCCTGGGTCTGTTTACTATTTTGCATGGTGGGATCTCTAGCCCCTTAGAGACCTGTGCTTGTATAAACACTGGTTTAGATGTCATCATGGAAAATAAAGAAAGTGGGGTAAAGTTTTAAGTTGCTCTCCTCCTTCCCCAGCCTCCTCTGTAGACACCGATATGTTGTAGGCTTGTCCTCCACAATGCAGGTTTCCAAAAATGTGTCCCCGGTGTCAGCTCCTTCAGATTGAGGGCTTCAACCCCTGGAACCTGGCTTCCTTCTCACAGCTGGGCTGTGTCATTATCAGGGTCAGATTACGAGAAAGGGTCTTCATTAAAATAACTAGAAAGTAATACCAGCGCTTACTGGAAATCCTGCCTGGGCACTGAGAGGCCGAAGACCCAACAGGAGAAGGCCAGTGGGGGACTAATATTCTCCACCCTAGACCGCCAGGTGATGGGCAGTCCACCTATGAATCGCTCTAAGAAATTGGGTGTTCCCGCGGTTGCTAAGCAACAGGAACTTCCGGACGCCCCGGAAGTGGCCTTGGGGAGGCAGTTCCGGTGAGCGAATCTGTTGGCTGATCAGTGCTAAGCAGCTGGGGGAAAAACAGTCAAACTTGGGACTGTTTCACCTAGGACCACGGTGGTTATTTATCCAAATGAAGGTACCAGTCAGTATAGGGTTCCTCGAAAGAAGTAGATGAAGGGCAACAAAAAAGCTGACCTTGAAATAAAACTCCCAGGTTTTGATCGACGTTCAGCGTGATCCTCTTAAAGCAGACCAGGGTATGGTACCTTTTGGTTTTAATTTAAAAATCAGTTTTGCGTCGGGCACAGTGGCCCACCTCTGTAATCCCAGCGACTCCTTAGGCTGTGAAGCAGGAAGATCTCAAAATTCAAGGCCAGTCTGGGCAACTAAGCGATACCCTGGCTGGGGGTGTAGTTCAGTGGCTCAGTCCCCAGTACCCCCCCCCAAAAAAAAAATTTGCGGAAGCGCAATAGCAAGATTTTTTTTTTAACTTCCTTACACTTAAAATATTAACATAAGTTTGCACGCAGTTCACAATAACCAAATTAGGGAATCAGCCCACATGCCTATCACAGGTGGATAAAGAAAAGGTGAAATATATAATGGAGTTTTACTCAGCTATAAAGAATGAAATTGTGACATTTGCTGATATGTGGATGGAACTGGAGAAAATGCTAAGTGGAATAAATCATTCAAGGTCTAATGTTTTTTCATATGCAGAAGCTAGAGTAAATAAACAAGAAAATGGAGAGGGGAGGCACCATGAAAATGGGAGATCAGTGGGGAGGAACAGTGGAATGAGGTTGACCAGATTGTGCTGTGTGTGTCAATGTGCCGCAGTGAAGTCTATCTTTATGTGTAAAGTGTCAATTTATAAAAACAATAAATAGATGGAGTGAAATGGAGTAGAGAAGGGAAATGTACTAGGGACTGAAATGGGTCAACTTCTATTCCACACGTGTGATTATGTCAAAATGAACCTATTATGTGTAGCTCTAATACTCCAATAAAACCATAAGCCTGCAGTTTTTAAGTGGTTTGAAGTTAAAAATTTTAAAGTTTTAGGACGTTTAATAAACATTGATTCCCTCTGTACCTTTAGAATGCCAAGATGAAGACTGTCATAAGGTACCTTTTTTTTTTTTTTTTTTTTGTATCAGGGATTGAACTCTGGGGCACTCAACCACTGAGCCATATCCCCAACCCTATTTTGTATTTTATTTAGAGACAGGGTCTCACCGAGTTGCTAAGCACCTCGCCAGTGCTGAGGCTGGCTTTGAACTAGCGATCCCCCAGTCTCAGCCTCCCAAGACACTGGGTTTACAGGTGTGCACCACCAGGCCAGGCACAAGGTAACATTTTTTAAAGTTATTTCATATGTTTTTATAGACATCAGAAAAAAAATTTTTTTAAAAGTGGTGTCTGGCTGTTACCCAGGCTAGCCTTGAACTCATGGGCTCAAGATCCTCCCATCTCAGTCTCCAGAGTAGCTGGGATTATAGATATTCACCACTGCACCAGGCAAAAAGGTTTTCTTTTGTTTGGGGTTTTCTTTTGGTGCAGTGGATCAAACCCAGGGACTCCTGCATGCTAAGCATACACTTTTTCACTGAGCTACACCCCCAGCTCTTAAAAGAATTTTAAGTTAGAGTAAAAATGTAAGAAAATCTACCATCGGGCTGGGGATGTGGCTCAAGCGGTAGCGCGCTCGCCTGGCATGCATGCGGCCCGGGTTCGATCCTCAGCACCACATACCAACAGAGATGTTGTGTCCGCAGAGAACTAAAAAATAAATATTAAAAATTCTCTCTCTCTCTCTCTCCCCCCCCCCTGTCACTCTCTCTTTAAAAAAAATAATCTTAAAAAAAAATAAAGATAAAAATGGTTGAAAAAAAAAAAGAAAATCTACCATCTTAGCCATTTTTAAGTGCACAGTAGGTGGAATTAAGTAGATTCACATTGTGCCAGGATGGTGATGCACATCTGTATTCCAAAGTGCCTTAGGAGGCCAAGACAGGAGGATCTCAAGTTTGAAGCCAGTCTCTCTGCAACTTAGCAAGATCCTGTCTCAAAAATAAGGGCTAGGGATGTAGCTCAGTGGTAGAGCACCCATGAGTTTAATACTCAGTACCAGACACCCCATGGGTTTAATCCCCAGTACCAGACACAAAAAGGAAAAAAATATGTATACTCACATTGTTGTATAACCATCACTATCATCCAGCTTCAGAATTTTTTCATCTTAAGTTTATTTTTGTGTGTGTGTTCTATAAGTGATTGGAGCTTTATCACTAAAGTGCATCTGCACCCCTAGTTGTTTTTTGTTTTTTCGTTTTTTTTTTTTTTTTGGTATGGGTAGGGCATGAGGCCTTTTACAAGATCCTTTATCTTATTCACCAGGAAGAAGCCCTTAAGACCTAATAATTTCCCAAGGCCCCACCTCCTCATATTGTTGCACTGGAGATTGTTTCAACATGAATTTTGGAGGGACACACATTAAAACCATAGCACTACATTCTTACAAGGAAATCTTTCTTCTGGAGGACCTTCTCAAGTCCTCTACCCTGTTGTCAAATCTTTAATCCTTGTTACATTCTAGATACCTAGGAATCCTCACCCCCAGCTGTGGCATCCAGTTCCAAGGCTACTTTAATTATATGGAGTTCACGTTTAGTTCAGGTTTATTCTCTACTTGGGAGGTCCAAAGTCAGTAGCCAATTTGGATGAACACTTTATATTGCCCTATTGGTCTTGGCAATTATGATCTGGATTTTTTTCCCACTGACTTAAGTTGAGTTATGCTTCAAGGGATCTGTCATTTCTTACTGAAACTTGTTCTTTCCCTAACACATTTTCGTTAGGGAAAGAACAAAGTTTTATGTTTTTGGTACCAGGAATTGAAACCAAGGATGTTTACCTACTGAGCCTCATCCCCAGCCCTTTTTATGTTTTGATACAGGGTCTCCCTAAGTTGCTAAAGCTGGCTTTGAACTTGCAATCCTTCTGCCTCAGCCTCCTGAGTCACTGGGATCACAGGCATGCACCATCCTTCCCAGCAAGAACAAAGATTTTGTTGGGAGATCTTTATCTTGGACGATTCTCATTCCTACTACTCTAGAGTGACCCATGACCCCAGTGCTATTTCCTTTTGCTGACCACAATCACATCAGGCAGGTCAAGTTCTGGCTAAAGATGTTATCTGCACAGATGTTCAAGGTTACAATCATGCCCTACTCGAGCCACATCTGAACACTGGGCCTGGTTCTTTCTGCATGGAAAGACCCAGCTCTTTGCCTGTGCCTGCCTTTCTTTCCATGCTTCCAACTAGACATACAACTCTTTCCTCTTCAAAAGAAATGTGTGGTTCTAAGTAGATGAAGGTTGCAGAAAGCAATCAAATCTTACTTCTGGGTGAAGTTACTTCTGGTTCTAGGTTTGATTAAAACCATAAGCCTCAGTGCTGGAGCTCTCCGATTAAGGGTTGTTGCTTGCTTTAAAACGGTAGGCCCAGGGCTGGGGTTGTGGTAGTGGTAGAGTGCTCACCTACCATGTGTGAGGCACTGGATTCAATCCTCACCACCACATAAAAATGAAACATTGTATCCCACTTACAACTAAAAAATTAAAAAACAAAACAGTAGGCCCATATACAAATCTTGTGCTAAGAATCAACTGGATGCTTATTCAAAATGCAAATTCTAGCCTGGTACAATGGTGTATGCCTACAATCCCACTGGCTCAGCACCTCACTGAGGCCTGGTTGGGCAATTTAGTGAGACCTCGACTCAAAAATAAAAAGGTATGGCATGTAGCTCAGTGGCATAGCACCCATGGGTTTTTAATCCCCAGTACCCCTCTATCAACAATAACATTCTTTGGTGTGGTCTCTTGCTCCCAGACAGGTTCAAAGGTTGTACCCTATGCACTAGGACAGCTGTAGCTCTGCTCAAGACATCATTGCAACACCCAGACCACAGGAGAAGCCCTATTTAGGATAAGACAGAAACCCTTATTTCCAACTAAGAACTCTGATGATCCCTGAACCACTTTATTTTGGACATTGAACCCAGGAGAACTTTACCACTGAGCTAGGTCCCTGGCCCTTTTTGTTTAGAGACAAATTGCTGGGGCTAGCCTTAAACTTGGAATTCTCCTGCCTCAGACTCGACTGCTGGAATTACAGGCATGTGTCACCATGCCAGGCTCTGGACCATATCTTGAACAATGCTACCTTATTATTTTAAAAGGCTGGTGTATAGGATTTAAACATAATTCCTGTCAAGACAAATAATTTCACTGCACATCTAAGACCTCCAAATATCCTTTATTCTGCTAATTTCCTAGGGGTTCACAGATTCTCTCCTATCATTTCATTACAAATCATATACTAGCAAATAACACTTGCTGTAATTGCTTAGCAAACTTTACCAATATGGTTATAACTCCTACTCATGGAGCTCTTCTGTGTACGAGGCACTATGCTAAGCACTTCACATTTGTTACCTTAGTTCTTCGATCAGGTTATGGACAGGATTCCATGAGCCTGACGTTGGCACAAAGACTCTGGCAAACCCACAAAAACTTGGCCTTGTCACTCTTTGAGATTTCAGATGGCTCCTGGCAGGCCCCCAGAGACTTTGAGGACCCTAAAGCAAATTTTCTAATCATACTGATTTTTACTACACCAAATATTTTCTCCCACATCTGACATTTATGTTTCAACCTTGATGTTTCTCATAGCACAGAAACTCAATTTTGTGTGTCTGGTAAGATGTTTTCTTTTTGGTTTCATGTTTTCAAAAGACCGTCCCACATCAGTTATAAAAATATATTTTCTTGTTTTTTTCCCGTCTCAAACTAATTTTTGTGGAAACTGAGGTAGAGATCTTACTCTAATAAGTCATCTCAAAGTATTATTTATTAAATAATCCATCTTTTGCCCCATTTAAAATACTCCCATTTAAAAAAAAATTACCATATACTAAATCCCTATGTACCCAGGACTGTTTCTGGATTCTCCATACTGTCCCATCTGTCTGACCCAGTCTGTCATACTAATTAAATTCATGCTAGCCAGAGTCCTTTGGGAAATCTGGTAGGACAAGTGCCTTTTACCCACCTCAGCACCACCACTGGACTCATCACCATTCGGAGATACCTTGATATTCTCACACCTTTACTCTTCCAAATGAACTTCAGAAGCTACTGAATTTCAAAAAGTATCCAATCTCATTGGAATTACATTGAAGTGAGCCGATTTAGGGAAAACCAAAATCTTTACAGGAACATGTTTAGCACTGGCTCAATTTACAGAATGCTCTTCCTACGTTTTCAGCCAATTCTGCTGGATTTCATAGGCAGGCTGCTTTAGGGTCTATAGATGATGGCAATTATAACCCTTCCTTACCTCCTTCACCTGACTTGTTGCAAGGGTAAGTAATGCCAGACACTGCTAAACCACAGCACCCCTGGCTAGTTTCTTACCCTCAATGGGAATGCTTATGGACTCTTCAGAGTCCCATTAACTGTTTCTGATATGGACCTTTTTCTAGATTAGGAAGTTTCTTTCTTAGAATTTTAAGAAGGGGTGGATTTTATTTTTGTGGTGCTGGGGATCAAACCCAGAGCCTCATGCTTGCTAGGCAAACACTCTACTCTCGAAGCCACATCCCCAGCCCTAGGGGTGGATTTTAAATTTTATCAAATATCTTTTCAGCATCTATAAAGACTATTATAAATTTTTCTCTATTATTTAAAGCTGAAATGAAGACTCATGAGCAGTCCTACCACTTCCTAATTTAGTCTACATATCCCTCATCCCCCGTGCCAAGAATTGAATACTGTAAAAGGATGGGCCAAAGGTGAGGCTTCAAGGCCTGCTAGGCATGACACCGAAAGTCGTCTTAAGTTGCCCAAGCATGGAGGGTCTTGGAGGTTTCACTTTCTTTCCAGGACCAAACCCCTCATGATACAAAGTTCTTGGGGGCAGTTGTGCAGAGAGTAAAGGGAACAAACCAGAGTCAGGTAGGGTGGAGAAGCCCCACTAAGCCCCAGCCACCAATCCCATTAATCAACACACAGACAAACTGCCCAATTTGAGATGGGGGTTTTGGTATCTGAAATGTTCTATGCCCTCTGGCCATAAGTCTCTAGTGAGTCCTTCCTGCCATCCTGCAGCCCCCACCAGGATGCGCAGGCCCAGTGGCATTTAGGGTAGAGCCATCACAGAAAGCAGAAAAGCCTTCAGGCTCTTTGGAGAAACTGGGATTCCTTCTACTCCTCCACCCCACCGCTAACTGTGGGTCCCCATCCTTCTCTTCCCACTGATCCTGCTCCTTATACCAGGATACATAGTCTCTTCTTCACCACAGGATTCCCCTAGAGTAAGCTCTCATCTGTAGTCACCCGACACTGGGCCTTACCCACTTAGCTTCCCTGACCTCCTGTCTGTTCCCACTCCTCCCACATCCCACTTTGGGAAAAGGATGGGTACTTGAGCTTGTGCCCAAGTATGTGGCCACTCAACCCAGAGCAGAGTCTGGTACCATCAACCCCGACCAATGGCTTCCTCTCCCTCATCTCACCAGCATCTGCCCTACCTGCCCACCACTGGGCATTGCCCTAAATACAGAAGCAACAATAAACAAGATGAGGGGAGAGCCCAGTCTGTCAGGTTTTAGAGGCAGATTGGATAGGATACCCAGTGTGGCTTGTCCAACCCATTCTCAGTGTTAAGAGGCAGTCTTTGTGGATGAGCTTTTTCTTCAGGCCACAAGCAGCCTTAACCCAAGCGGAGGCGAAAGGTGGCGATCTCCATGGGTTCCAGATAGATGTCAGTGCTGTTGGAGGGTGAGGCTAGAGGGTACAATAGTGTCAAGGAGGTTGGCTGTAGGAATCCCACATCCAGGCCATGGAAAAGGCTACCTAGGGCTACCTGTGGAGAGAGAAGACACCGGGCTGTGCTAGATACTCCTACACTAAACAGAAACACTTGTCATCTACATCACTAGTGTTACCTCAAGCAATCTGACAGAGTAACTCAATATTAGAGTACTTGCCCACCATATGCAAAACCCTAGTTTCAGCATTTAAAAAAAAAAAAAAAAAGCAACAAGGCTTCATACATATATACATTGGTATCCAACCTCCAGGGCTCACTGAGATTTGCTCAACCCCAAAGCCCATCTGTGGATCTCAGGGTGGGAACCATTTCACTGAGATGCAACCACTTTGAGGACAGTGACTACATCTCCTAAATCACCAGTGACCTGCAAAGAGTCTGGCATATGAGGGCATTTAATGCCAACTAAAACCACAAATACAGCTTACAAAGGACCAGCATCATGGATTTAGTTTTACATGCCTGGTGTTACGTCCCCGTTCCTCAGGGAACAGAAGTTCTCTAGCTCCATGCCACATCTGGAGCTGCCCCTACCAAGGCCTCAGTTACTGAAAATGTGTCAATGGCTTCCTCCTTTCTCTATGGAAAGCCTTGAAATGAGTGACACTTTCTTCTTTCATCCTGCTGTCCAACCCTAGTCCTCTCCCCATAAGCTCTTGCTCTTATATTCCCAGTGCCTCAGCTTCCCTGCCTCCCCACATCAGGTGTTTCACCTTCCATCCCTGGGGCCCACTCACCTTGCCCTGGCTTGTGGTACAGTTGAAGCCCAAGTTCTTGGCCTCAAGACTGCAGTCAAAACCCTTGCGGTGTAATATAAATGCAGTGTCTGCTGAGGGCAAGTTATCTTCCTGGACAACAGGAGGAAAGACGATGACTGGCAGGGCTCTGCAGAATTCAGAAAGGCAGCAGAACCCTGCCCCAAAGTCAAGTGCTGGGAACAGGGAGTGAGGGGGACCAGAATTTGGTCCTGGAGGTTCTGAGCCCAGAGGGACACTCACCTCGCCTGGAAGCGTACGTAGGTTGAGCAAGTGGAAGTCACAGGGCAGTGCGGAAGCCAGAGGATGAAATGAGTGCAGACTGGAGCCTGGGAGCTGCCTCTTGGCTACGGGCAGGGCAAGCACAGGGGTATTCAGGTACATGGAGGTCATGTGGCTGAGGAGGGATGGGTAGCTGGTAGAGCGGCCTTCTTGGACCTGCAAGATGGACCAGAGATGTGAATGAGGGAGCAAAGCCAGGCTAGTGGGTAAAGGTGAGGCAGAATAACAGTACACCAGGCCAGTTCCTATGGCAGGAGCTTTCCTGGTGTTGTCTGGATGCAGGCACTGCCTGACTCCAGATCCTGCACCTTTAACTCTTCATTGTAACTTCTTTCCATAATACCCAACTCAGAGGGCTATTTCACAAGGCCATTTCTTCCCTATGTTTTATTATTATTTTATTATTACTCCAAAATATATCATGAGCAACATTCATCAGTGACACCTCCCATCAGAGATCCTCAGTGCAGGTGGGGAATGAAGACACACACTTCACCATGGAGGATGGGCCTTGGATGGACAAAGTGTTCTGAGCCATCCTGTGGTCTCCAATAACACACCATATCCACTGTGCCAGCTTGATGCCCAGGACAATGGTCCCCATGGCTCTGCCAACTGAAGACTACTCCCTCAGACAGCTCCCTGACATGTCACACTCATGGATCTATGTGGAACTTTCCCTCAAAGCTGCTGCTTTTCTGTGTTCTGATTTCTGTCTCTATTACTACTCTCCTAGTTGCCCAGAATCTCACTTCCCTCTAATTTGATCTCCAGGGACAGGTGGTTACCAAACCCTCCTCCATTCCACCTCTGCAGTATACCGTTAGCTACCCCAACTCCTTTCTCCCACCCATGGCCTGGTTCAAGTTCAACCCACCAACACTTCCTATTTGAACAACCTTCAAATCCTTACTCATGCCTATCTTCCTTCACACAAAGCCACTGGCTCCCTACTGTTGGAATGATGAGTAGAGTCCATGTTGTGTCCCTCCCTGCTCAGGTCTTTCCCTGGTGTCCAGATTCTTTGGCCAGACATTCATGGCCTCTGCAGTCTGCCCCTATTATCCCACAATGCTGTATCCCAGCACTTGCCCAGAGAGCTTTCTGTAATAATGGAAATGTACTGTAACTGCACTTAGCCAACTTGGGACTGCTAACAATTTGAAATGTTGCCAATATGAATGAAAAACTGAATTTTTAATTTCATTTTATTTGCATAGCCACATGTGGCTGGTAGCTACCATAATGGACAGTGCAGCTCTAGGCTAACTGAATGAACTGCTATTGCCCATTCATATTCTTTCCTGCCTTCCACCCATTCCCTGGGGTGTGTGTGTTTGTGTTTTGGTACTGGGTAATGAACCTAGGGGCACTTGATCACTGAGTTACAATGATCAAGTGCCCCTGGGTTTTGATTTTTTAGTTTTTACTTATTTATTTTTGTATGCGGTGCTGGGGATTGAACCCAGGGCATTGTGCATTCGAGGCAAGCACCCTACCAACTGAGCCATATCCCAGCCCTTATTTTTTTTATTTTGAGACAGGGTCTCGCCAAGTTGGTTAGGGTCTCACTAAATTTTTGAGGCTGGCTTTGAACTTGCAACACTCCAGTCCCAGCCTCTCAAGATGCTGGGATTACAGGCATGTGCCACCACACCTGGTACCCAGTCATTTTTGATACATGTCTTGCTAAGTTCCTGAGACTGGCCTCAAATTTGAGATTCTCCTGCCTCAGCCTCCTGAGTCACTAGGATTACACAAGTGTGCCACTGTGCCCAGCTCATGTGTTTATATCATAACCCCATTTATCAAAGCCACTCTTGGAAGACACATCCTCCAAGAAAATTGTCCTTGATGTCTTCAGGACCAGCGGGACACATCATTTCTACTCTGTACTTTTACATTCAGAGTTGACTCTACTCCTACTCACAGGGAAATTGCTAAAAGTCAGCAGCATCATATGCACTGATGGCCCCCTCAGGTCCTACAGCACAGCAAGGGCTCAGTATCCATGAGATTAAGGAGTGACTGAGCCCCAGACATGTGACACTGGACAGCAGGCTCCAGCTACAGTGATGGCTTGCTCATACTAGTTCTCTAGTCCCATCGCTGTCCCTTACCTCTTGGTCACTGCTCCTGCTGCTGTGAAAGATCAAGTCCCTAAACATGGCTGCCAGTTTGGAGAAATAGCCTGGCTGGTGGGGGCAAAGAAAGCCATGATTATGAGCAGGGTTGGAGCAGAAGGTTAGAAAATGTTAGGGTGAGGGGAGGGAAGACAAGGATCACAGAGGAATGTGGCAAATGAACATGAAGGGAACTTAGGAAACAGGGTGCAGCCAGAAGAGGAGGTGCCAGGTTGCATGAGATGGGTCACAAAATGACAGTCGCCCGCCACAACCCAGGAATTAAGCCCTCTCTGTCCATCCCTTGCCCTCCTCCACCTATGCTCAAATCCTTGGCCAGAACCCCAGGGCCACCCATAAGAACGAGCTTGCTCTGACTCCCTGGGCACTGGGATCAGATTTTTACCTCACTGCCCACGGTTCGACGTTCTAATAGGAGGCGGAAACAGTTGCGGGTTCTCTTGTTGTCCTTGAGCCCTTGACCTAGTCCCCGGTTGTCATCCTGCATTAGCCGACGGTCCAAGATCACCTCCAGCTGGCCTGGGGAAGTTAACAGTGAGTCCACAGACTGCCATCCTCATCCCTAAGCAGACACTGGCCTAGGACAAGAATCCCAGCCCCAGGCCCTAAAATCAGTGAGGCAGCAAGAAGCTGAGTCATTCACAAACTAGGAGGGAGCTGAATGTGGGGCTGGTCCTGTGCTCTTGTTCTACATATGAAGAAATAACAGGCCCCCTGTGAGTCAGGAGTCGAACCTAGGCTCAGGGGACCCAAGCAGGAAACCCTATTAAGACTGGCCACATGAAAAAAACAAACAGAAAACAGAGCAACACCATCTGTAGTGTGGCTGCAGATTCCCTCATTGGGGGCTGGTTTCTCAGACTGGGCAGTTCTGTTGTGACCAAAATCCTGTTCTCCTACCCTTGCTCTACATGAGAACAGCTAGAAGGCCCAGCAGGCCAGACTTGGTCCTAACAGCCTTGTCTGTCAGAAGCTGGGTTGTACAGAGTCTGGGTAGGGCCAGTGCTCCTCATGCAGAGGTAGATCAGACAGACTCAATGGGGCCTCTAGGCTGTCTTGGGGCAGAGATGGCAGATGATCACCTCAGCTTTTTTTTTTTTTGGTAGTACTAGGGATTAAACCCAAGGGTACTTTATCACTGAGCCCAGCCCATTTTTTTTTACTTATGTTAAGTCTTGTTAAGTTGCCCAGGCTGGCCTGAAACTTGCCACCCTTCTGCCTCAGACTCCCAAGATGCTGGGATTAGAGGCATGCAACACAGAGCAGGTTTCCCCCAGCTCTCCTGAGGGAAGGCCACACCAGCTTCTCACACAGAGATGGCCCTGCTTCCCTTTCACTTCCACAGCCCTGACTCTGACTTCTGTAGTCTTTTTACCATGAGCAATCACAGAAAGTCATCTTGAAACCCTAAAATGAATCCTTTGGATAGAAAACAATCATTTCTTAACACACCAAACCCAGCAGGGCAGAGGGAGATAATCAAGCAAGAACACTGAGCTGTAGTCAGGAATCATGAGGTAGAGCAGGTGGAGCAGCTGGGGCAGAGGGCAATGTAGCCACACTGGCTCCTAGGGGAAGAAGGCCCCACCCTTCCACCACGCTCCCACACACAGCCTTGAACCCACATCAATTCAGCCTTCACAAAGGCTCTGTCCCATAGAAGACTTCAAGGGCCTCACCATAGCCAAATTTAATTTTTCCCTGAGGCTATGGGAGCCACCTGGAGCTCACCCAGCATGATCAGCTGGCCAGCTCTAATTCCACACCAGTGAGCTTCATGCCTTGTTTTTTTTTGGTTTTGTTTTTTCAATGCCGAGGATGGAACTCAGGGTCCAGCTTTGATTCTTTAAAGTGTCATCTTTTCTTCTATTGACCTTTAGCAGGTCATTAGAACAAGACAAATTTTTCTCCTTTTCTAAATATTTCACTATTAACATCAAGTATGCTTTTGAACTATCCATAATCTCATCTCTGGCCAGAATAAGGGTCACACATCTCATTAAAGAGTCACCATTTAATAACCTGATGCTTCTTGAGGGGACCTAACAGGACATCTGCCACTCAACGGCCACCCAGCTGCCTCCTCCAACAGAAGAGAGAGCAATGCCTGCTTTTCTCCTATGGCCAGCTCTTGACGAGAGACAGAAGCTGAGGATGGCTCATCCCCCCTGCAAACACAGAGGTGATGCAGACAAGAAAACATTGAGAGAGGCCTACAGAGTGGAGACCCTCAAGGGTGAGATGAGCTGCTCCTCCCTGCCTCACACCCTCTGCAGAGCTCCTATTCTCCACTCACCATCCCTGAGGCTGGAGACGCCCAAGGCCTGAGCAGTGTGTAGTGTGAGGCGCTTCTGTGCATCCTGGATGTAGGCCATAACTGGCATGGGGTAGAAGTTAGCCTGCAGGGGCAGCTTCTTTAGATACCTCCGGGGCTGCACCTGTGGGGCCAAGGCCAGCAGGTCAAGGGCATCTAGGGACTCTTTGGGTCTTAAGGCATCCCCAGTCTGAAGGTATCCCTGATTACTCTCACTTCCAGTTTCTTCCTTTATATCAGGGTAGACCACCCCCCCATGTCCTGTGACGGAGGCCAAAAGCACAATCCAGGTCTATTCTGCGAAGCCCAGGGCTCCAGCCCAGGAATCACCTGAAAGCCATTGAGGTCTGTGAAGAAGGTTCCCTGGCTGTCAATGTCTGTGTGGATGCGCAGGGCCAGCTCCTTGTTGACATAGTCCCGGATGTCCACCAGGGATGACACATCCAGAGACAGCCCCTCCACCCCTGGCACAGGGAAAAAAGGGAAGGCATCAAGAGGAGTGAGGATAGGCCATGGATGAGAGCCTGGGCCAGGAAATCAAAGCTGAGCTAGGGAAAGGCTCTGCCCAACCCCCACCAAAAGCAATTCCCAGGGCATTTTTGAATGACCTTTTCTCTAAGAGAATTAAACATACCTGTCTCATGTGATAACACCTGTTGGGAGCAGATGTGTAAACAAAGGAGGGGCAGGAGGAGCAGCACATGACAGCCCAGGGAACCCACACTTCCTTTCCCACCCTTCCTTGTTCGCAGGACTCACCAGGCAGGTTATAAAGCCGGACCACCTGGTGAACATGCTCATAGTAGGCAACCACCTCTGAGTAGAAAGGGCCTTCGGTGACACGCAGCACAGGGGGGTCCTTGGGGGAATAGGGCTGGAGAAAGAGCAGGTGGCCACTGAGCCCACAGTGTGGAAAGAAAAGCAGGAGTTGGCAGCCCAGGGTTGGGCAAGATGTCTCATCTCATCAGGGTCTGGCCTAAACCCCCGGACTGAGATGCCCAACCCGCCAACCTCCTCCAGGCAGCAAAGACAAGTCTTCCTGCAGGAAGCGATCACCCTGAGGGATGCCTGTATCCCTCTTCTGGCCCTCCCCGATAGTGAAAACTACCAAGGCCTGCCGGGTTTTGTGAGACAACTCTCAGGTACCTTGGCCTCGCCGTCAGGCAGGAAGAGGTAGGCTCCACTCTTGTCCTTGGATGTACGAGTGCCATAGATGAGGAATTCCATGTTCATCTGCTGGTCCTGCTCCTCATCCACCCTTCGGATGCTCTGCCAAAAAACACAGCCCTGACCCCTGGCCCCATACCAGCATGTCAGGCCTGCCCCCTGGAGGGCACAGACTAATTTCCCCATGGAGCCAAGCCCAGTGCTACAAGATTGGATCTTAAGTGTCTCTCAAAGGTCTGTGTGTTAAAGGCCTGTTCCCTGTTGTGGGGCTACTGGAGGGAAGAAGAAGCTTTAAGAAGTAGGGTCTGGTGGGAGATTTTAGGTCACTAGAGGAGTGCCCTTGAGGGGGAGAGTGAGTTCACTCACTCAGAGCCATGAGTGAACAGCTCTGCTCTAAGCTCCCCACCTGATGTTGCTGCCTCACCATAGGCCCCAAAAGCAGTGGTTCCACTCCTTTGAACTGTCCTAGAACCACAAGCCAAAGTAAACTTTTTTGCTTTTTTTTTTTTTTAAGTTTTTTCGGCAGACACAACATCTTTGTATGTGGTGCTGAGGATTGAACCTGGGCCGCACGCATGTCAGGCGAGTGCGCTACCACTTGAGCCACATCCCCAGCCCAACCTTTTTGCTTTGTAAGTTGATTACCTCAGATACTTGTGCGTATTTTTTTTCCTTTTTTGTTTTTCATTTTGTGGTGCTGCAGATCAAACCCAGGATCTTGTGCATGCTAGGCAGGTGCTCTAGCACTGAGCTATGTCCCCAGCTATCTCAGGTATTTGTCACAGTAACAGAAGGCTAACATACCTAGCTTCCTCATGATGTCAGCTTGGAGCAAAGATGGCCCATGCCCAAGTCACTGTCAGGTGGCAGTAGCACTTGGGGTAGGAAAGCAGCTCTGCCCAACCCCATTGGCATGCACACCCTTTCCCACTACCCCTGGCCCTTTACCTTTGGGAGCCCAGTAAGGCCTGAGAACCAGACCTGCATGTAGCGGTTGCTGAGGGCAAAGTCACTGGATCCCGAGTCAATGACATGAAGAGGAAATGCATCATGCCTGCTCACAGAGAGCTGCCGGCCATGCAAGTAGACTCGCACAGAGGAGGGCAGTGTGCGGTGCCCATCCAGGCCCAGCTGTAGCTGCAGCACACCCAGGCCCAGGGCTGGCAGACGGATGGGCACAGATACCTGTGAGCACAGGAAGGGTGAGGAGGCATAGGCCATGGCCAAGGATCAATTCCAGATCCAGGAAGGGGAATTCTGGGGTCTTGGGACATTTGTTTCCTAACAGTCTGAGCAAGCAACTGCCCTGCAGGAGCCCCATCCCCTTCTCTGAAAATACTCCTTCTTGTCAGACTTAATCAGTCTCAAATGATACTTAAAAACTATAAAGTGGTAACCACACATTAAGCCTTCAACAAATATCTGTTGTGCTGTGACACATGTCTGTCATCCCAGCACTTGGGAGACAGAGGCAGGCAGATCACTTGAGCCCAGGAATTCAAGACCAGCCTAGGCAACAGAGCAAGACTCATAAATGAAGAGACAGATACATAGATAAATATTTGCTGAATGAATGGATGAATGAAGAGGCCATTTTTATTATTACCATATCATCCTTCACTTTCCTTTCAAGGACAGAATCAAATCCTAAGAGTGACTAATCCTCTGGACAAGCCCTCTCCCCAAGACACCCATCCCCAGCATGAGAAGTGAGAAGGGCACAGCAGAGAGGCAGGAACTAGATGTCCATGGGAGGGTAAGGCCCTGGCAAGAGGATACTGATTAGCAGAGGGGGCCAAAGCAAGGGCTCACCTGCCAAGCTCCTGCCTTACCTCGTAGACATCAGGGACCATGTCCGTGGCAGATCTCCAGTGTGCACTGATCTGCACAGCCAGGGGCTGACCCTCCTCTGAAAGGACACGCACGCGGGGTGAGTTGACCAGCAGGGACACCACACTGAGCCGCTCCTGTTCCAGTGGGTTGAACAGCACCACAAACCTGTGGGTAGAGGGTGGGCTGAGCCAAGGGGCTGTTGCCACCAGCAGCATGGCAGGAACAGCAGCCAGGACAGAGCCCTGCAGTGGGTCAGCAAGTACAGGGGTGGAAAGGCACTGGAAGCCAGGGAGTGGCTTTGCCCCTCGGCCCCTGGCCTGATCTGGCTCACCTGGGTGAGGAATCCAGCTGGATCACTGTACGCTCTGGCAGGGCATCATGATTTAAGCGGGTGTCATCCTGGAATTAAGTGGGTAAAAGGAAAAAGCATCAAGGGGCTTGGCCTCCTCTCTGCGCCAGCCTGTCCTGGATGTGGACCACCCACTGTCCAGGACACAGAAATCTCACCCCCAGACAGGAAAGGAAGAAAGAGTAACACACCCAAAATGACAGTTGTTGGGATGGCACCCCCGCATGCTGGAGGGTCCATGCAGATCCAGGAGGGGGCTCACCATTTGGAGGAAGGGTGCCTCAGGGTCAAAGTGGTAGGTATCCTTGTCCCCTAGCACCAGATAATGAGCTGCATTGATGATAACCTGCTTCAGGCCAACGAGGGAGCGCAGGAGCCTGTGGCAGGTTAGGAGAGGGGACAGGGAGGAGATGACCAAAGGGAGGCAGCCTGCCCGCTGACCACCCTGCACATCCTCTTCTTGGAATGGTGGGTGGGTGGACAGAGTGGGTGAGGAGACAGCTCATACCTGACACCATAGTCCACCACCACTGCCTCCTTAGCAGTTCCAGTGATGGCGTCATGGTGCTGAAAGAGCCCCAGTGTGCGCCGAGCTTCCGTCAGGAGGGTGAAGTCAGACAGTGGGTACCGGCTAGCTAGTCCAGAGCGGCGGGCGTGGGCCACAGCCAGGCTGTACAGAATCTCTGCCCCCCTAGTCCAATAGAAGAGTCAGCTGCCTGCCCACTCCACTCTGAGGGGCCATCCACGTTCATTCCCTTTCCTTTCCCAACCCTTCTCTTAAGCCTTGGCCTCTTGCCAAGCCAACTCTTCTTAAACTCCCAAACCTGACTCTACTCCCCCAGCCTGCAAGGGAGTGGGGTCTCACCGAAGGTGGGCTTCTAGGACTCGGTCCAGACTCTTGTAGAAAGGTCTGGAAGTATAATAGCCTGTCCAGTAATGGTCCTCACGGTCCGCGTAGGAGAAGAAATCCCCGCTTAGCACAGGAAACCCTGGGGGTCGGGCCCCTGGTTCCACGCCTGTCCTCTTGTATAGAGCGTCAAAATAGTCAGAGAGGGTGCCAAACTGGGCCTGTGGGAACCCCAAAAATGAGCTCTCATCAGTTCCAGAGCCTCCTGGAATTCTGGTCACCAGTGCTGCAGCTGTGGAAGTCCACCTCAGCAGAGGGCGTACCTTCTGGGCCTAAAATAAAAGCTGGGGAGCCAGAAGTGAATTTTGACATAAAAGGGGAACCCTTGCTTTGGAATAGCTACCAGGGATAGTCAGAGGAAAGCCCCCCTCCACACCTGCACATGGAGTTCAGGCTTGCTGTTAAGGAAGTCAAAGAGCCGCTGGTAGTTGAAGAACTGAGCATCCCATTCCTGGGGCTTGTCATATCGGAAGTCATCGCCCAGTGGCACCAAGAGGACATTGCTTCGGAAGAGCCGGGACTTCTTCCTGTACTGGTCTAGGAGCAGGGCTGCCCTGAAGCAGGAAAGGACACAGGTTCCATATGAAGTCTCAGGGCTAAGAGATCTCCAAGCAGAGACACCTCAAGAGTCAGCCCACTTTGAAATACCATTATGGAGTTGTTGTTCAGCCTGCAGATAGACACTTCCTGAGACAGGAAGCCCAGTCCCAGTGTTCTCTGGACATTTCTGAGAACAGAAGAGTTCTTATCCTAGGCTGCAGTTTATGGCTTCAATTCCCCGATTCCACTTATGCCCTGTGACACAAGACAAATCAGTCCTTCCCCACGATTATCCTTCAGATACATCAAAGATGTGATCATGCCCCTCTAGCTGTCAACTTGGTTCCTGGAGAACAATTTAGAATCTGCTCACCAGCAGTTCTCTGGCCAGCGACCTGAGTCAGGGCCCAGCACCTCATATGGAGGTCCACAGTGGGCAGACCCACCAGAGGAAGGCAGAACCACCCTCTTCAGCCAGGTCAAGACCCCAGAGAGAAGTGTGCAGAAAACTTCACTATCACCATGCTGATGGTCAGTTTCCATAGTTCCACGTATGTAGGTTTTTTTCTTTTACCTGAACTCACATGTTCTGTCTTCTGAAGCTAAGATGGAATCTTACATTTCTACCTGTTAAACCCTATCTGTCTTTTGGGAATCCCAGTTCTGAAGCTCCAGTGAACAATGCAGAAAATCAATGCTCCAGACTCTGGAGCCAGATTTTGCTAGCTGAGTGACCTTAGGCAAGTAACTTAACCTCTTAGGGCTTCAGTTTCTGGAAAAATGAGGAAAACATCAGAAATATTACTGACACTGATGTCATTAACCCCCATGATGCTATGAGAATTAAAATTAATTGAATGAATTAATATTTAAGCAAGCATCTCAAATAGTGCCTGGCACATAGGAGGAAACATATACAAACATTTTCGTGTGTTTTTTCATCCATAGTATGGTTAATATCAATAGAAAAATAGTGCCCCATAGCATATCATTGGAAAATCCTTCCTGTTTTCAGACCAACCTGTTAAATGACATGTTATGGATATCACAGTTCTAGCAGTCACTAATCTACTTAACAGGACAAGACCAGCTTGTTCTGTTCTATTTGGTTCTTAAAGAAAGGACTCCTCAAAGACCAACTACCCCTGATTTATCAGCTTAGCAAGCCCTTCAAAGGAGGAAATGTGGTTTTGTCTCCTGGCCTGTTCTCTGCGAACTGGGGTCAGAAACACAGATTGTCACTGCTGCTTTAGGAAAAACCACACCTGCTTTAATAGACCTATATTCCTGCCAGCAATCAGCATTTAGATTCCTGGAAACAAAAGACCATTTTCTTTCTCCTTTGGTCATAGGCCTCATCTCTTGTACATCATAGAAATCACAGCATTGCAACATAAAAACCAGTTCAACTTGTTATATTCTTGGTTTTTTTTTTTTGTGATGCTGGGACTCCAACCCAGGCCCTCACAAATGCTACCACTAAGCTACTCCCACAATCTTCAAATTTTTTATATTCTGTTTTGTTTTGTTTTTTAGTGGAATCCAGGGGCACTTTACCACTGAGTTATATCTCCCACCCTTTTTGAGACAAGGGTCTTGCTCAATTGCCCAGGCTGGCCTTGAACTTCAGTCTTTCTGCATCAGTTTCTTGAGTCACTGGGATTACGGGCATGTACAACCACGCTCAGCTATGGCTCATTATTTTCTTAAGGTTTTAACTGAATCGCTGTTTAGATCATGTTTAATCAACACTTTCTTAGTGGATTTCAGCCACTTTCCTAGTGCTGATTTCAGCCACAGTGACATCTTTGAGAGTCCGCAATTCTTTTCTCACAGGGACAAGTCTGTTTCCTCAGGGGGACTAAATACAGATCTGAATGGAATTCAGGTCCACTGAACACAGATCTTGGCTGACTTTGAGCCAAGTAAGAATATCTGAGCCAAATGAAGGCACATTTGCCTCAAGTTTGTAAGAAATTGTACCAATTTAATAATCATTCATCTGAGGCAGTCAACTGGCTCTGACAGCTTGCTAGGACACCAGAAAACATACTCCTTGGGCAAAATAAAAGTGTTCTGTAAAAGGTAGTTCCTTAGCACATTCTAGTTTTCTAGGAAGACTTCACAGCCACCACTGCAAATGCTGCAGGCCTGAACCCACTCTGAGCCCATACTCCATTTTCCAGATACCACCTGCACCATGCAGTCCCCGGACTCAGCAGAGCATGGCCAGGTCTCCTGACTCCTCTAAGGAGCAAAAATGCCAACTCCATGCCCAGGCCAGAGCTGGAAACAGATACCTTTCTGCCACATTGGCCTCTGTGATGGCCCGGGGTGGCACTTTCCAAGGGCAGTTGATGCGTCCACCCGGCAGGCGTTTGAAATCAAACTGGCAGCAGATCTTGGGATCTGGGCCACAGGTATGAGGGACATCATAGCTGTAGAAGGGCATCATGTGGCAAAAGATGTCTGTGCTGGAATCCGAGTCTGCAGAAGACATATCACGTGGTCAACCAGTGGCAAACAACCTCAGGAATTGGGCACAGGGACTCCAGGAAGGCGTGGATCTACATAAGCTAAAGGTCGCCTGATAGGAGGGTCCAACTGGATTTGGGCTGTACACGACATACAGGACAGGAAATAGGACATGCAGGGCTCCAGGGCCCACAGGTTCCTTTAGGGGAAGTCCTTGCACAGACAGCAGCCCTGTAGAAGCCACAGGTCAATGTGACCCTCCCCTAAACTGAAGGAGAGATAGCTTCTGCCAGTCTTCCCTGAGAAGTGGAGTCTTATTTCTGACATCCCTGATCTTCCCCCCAGGGAAGTCTATGCTGCTTGGACCCCCTCTACCCTACCTGGCCTTACCCCAAGTCTGCCTCCACATGAACTCCAAGCTGTGGGTGGCAGCAAAGTGCTTCTTAATGGCATAATGTACCCTCTGGATCAACATGCTGGTCAGGTTGGCACGGCGCAGCAGGTAAGGCATGGTGGAGCTGTGTCCAAATGGGTCCACTGCCCAGCCAGAGCGTGGGGTTGCACCTAGGCAGGGTATGTAACCAGAGGTCCTGAACACCTCAGGGCCTGGCCTCTGGCCTCCCAGGTCCTAAGATCTCAGCTCTTGCCTTGCAGGGAGTGGAAAGATGCCATATGGATAGGCCCATGTTAACCTTGAGAAGAACTACCCCCTGACAATCCCTGTGCCTTACAGCATCATGTCACAGCACTCTGGGGCCAGAATCCCACTTCTGGGCCTGGACTTACCAAGGTTTCTCTCCAGCCACTGGTGTCCCTCAATGAGCTGGTCAATCAATGCAAAGTAGTGGGAGTTGGCCTCATCTGGCATCACCCAGCCTCCTGTTGCAATCTCTAGCTGCCCATTTCCCACCAGCCTGAAGGTAAAGATGCATACTTAGCATGGGGTGGGGATGCTTGCCCAGTCCTGCCAACCATAAGATGATGCCAGTGCCTGCATGTTCTGGCCCCTAGGCTGGTTCACTCAAATCCAAGATTAAGAGAACACACACTTGCCCTCCTTTCCCTCCAGCCCCACCCCATGTTGTCCTGGCCCTGCTTATCTTGGGACTTTTGAGTTCCCAGGGGGAAGGCCCCATGTTTCTTCTTCACTTACACTCAGACAACTCTGATATCTAACACTAGTGGCCCTCAAACCGTTGTTCCTCATTTCTGCCCCAGCTCCCTGTGCCTCTTCTTGCCACCTCAGCACCTACAGTATGAGACGAGACCTAGCCATTCAGCTCAGGCCCTCCAACGCCTCCCTAACTGCTACTGGCCTTCGGACTGCTGCTCTCTTTTGGGCATTGATGTTGTCCCACCACTTGGCAAAGAAGGAGACTTCTGCCCAGAGGAAGCGCCGCCGGGAGTCCTCCTGTAGCTTGGATACCATGCTGTTGAGGATGTGTTGGGTCTGCTCCGTGTAGTACTTGTCAAAGGTCTTGATCCAGCCTGGGGAGCCAACAGAGTCTCCTGAGGATACCACCTTCTTCAATGATGCCATCTGCCCCTTCCTTACGTTTGCCATGAGAAAGCCCACTCCACACCCCCTCTTCTATGCCTGCTAGACCTTCACCTGGGTCATTGTGTGAGTGGGGCACCACAAACACCTGCAGGTCTTCAGTATCCCAGTCATGTGGGCTGTAGGAGATGTCAAAGCCTTGCCTCCAAACGCCGCCCTCCACATTGTCAAATGGCAACTCTTCTGACACAGTTAGCATCTGCCAGGCAGGAAGGCAGTTCAGTGTCCCATCTGTGGTCACTGCAAGTCCCTGCCAGCTCTGATTCTTACCTGTAGCTCTGGCTTCTGGCCCCGGTCCTCCAAAGCAAACTGGCAATCCTGGGGGGAGATGGAGAAGAAGCTGGGCCGGGGCTCCGGGGGCACCACCCAGGATCCATTGGCTGTGTGGTAGGGCAGCAGAGCGGGAGGGCCTTCTGCATTGGCTGTCAGCTCCAGCACAGAGTCCTTGATGTGGCTGATAATTTCATGGTTCTCCTCCAACAGCTGCTCCAGCTGCTCAATGCGATTCTGCAGCACAGAAATTTGGCTCTGCCAGAAAAGCAAAAAACAATCACCCACAGCTCCTTATCCATAGGGAAGGTCTCTGCTTAGTGTCTACCACCTGAGGCCTGACTATGAGCCCACTCCCTCAATCAAAGCTAGACTACAAGCCTACATGGACGGAAAGTTCTGGGCACATCTCTACTAAGGACTATGATCCACTTGGGTTAGAAGTTCTGTCACTTTCTAGCTCACAGATGGTAAAGGTTTCCTCTCACATGCCTATGCTCAATGATTTGTATTGCTTTTTGGAGCATGGAGCTGAGGATTGCACTGGGACTTAATGGGAAAAAATGCTGCAATCAATCAGCAATGTCTGCCGAGAATTCAGGAGGACACTTCATTTTTTTTTCTACATTCTTTTTGTCATCACTATTTTTTGCTTCCTGTTGGGGCTGGGGTGTAGCTAAGTGATAAGTGTGCATGTTTAGCAAGCACAAGGCCTTAGGTTCAATCTCCAGCATAAAACAAAAACGAAAACAAAACAAAAACCTGCCTATTGAAAAGTAATGTTCCTGTCCTGGGCTGACATAACTCTCCAGTCCAGGTGACAACCTGAACTCAGGTGACTTGTATATGAAGAGATTAGCAACCAGGCTTACTCACCCGTGGGAAGTTCCCACCATTCTGGTGTCGGGTGGGATCATGCTGTACTCTGTCCAGCATAAGGTACAGTGAAAAGACTGCCACGCAGAAGATAGCAGCCCCACACACTGTCACCTGCTTTTTCAGCTTCATACTGGCCTCCACACACCCCTAGCAGGAGAGACACCATCTGTAGCTCTGGCATGTAAAATCCCTTTGGTATCTTCCCACCAAATAGTTCCCAAGGGCTGTTCCTAAGGAACACCTATTTACCTGGCTCCAGTAAAAAGCAAACTCCTAAGCACAAGATCCCAACATTAGTTAAGGATCCTGACCCAATCCTGATTTTATTCTCTTGCTTCAGATTCCAAAAGCACAAGCAGCACATCTGGGACTGGTCCTGTCTGGTCCTGGAAACAGTTCTACCCCTAAGGTAGGATGATGCCCCCTCTCAGCTGATGATGTAAAACAGGTTCAAGAAAACAGAGTCCCACCTCTAGCCCCACATTTCACTACACAAACTCCTAATTGTAATCAGCTTTCCCCTGGGGCCTGCCCAGGTGGTGCCTGTACAGGTTCCTTGGCCTTGTGCTTCTCCTTTTTAAGGAGTAAACTGGTCCCTGATTTAAAGGTATAGCCAGAGGCCAAGAGGCAAAAAAGCCTTTCCACCAATCCTCTTGGATCAGACTGCCACTTAGCAAAAACAGTCTTTCGCACAGATCCTCAGTAAAAATAGTGAATGAATTTTTTTATAGAAAAGAAGATGCTTCCCTTTCCAACATAAAGCTAGTCCTACCTGTTCTCCCTTCCGTTAGTACTAATTCCTGTAGTGCAAAACTTTCAGTCCTGGCCTATAGAAGCTGTACAGGATCCCTGGGAAGCCAGCAAGATGCTGAAAGTCCCCTGGGTAGAGAGAGGCATAGCAGCTAGGCTGTGGGACAACTTCTGAGGACCTGACTAGCTGCCACCGCGGCTGGCCCCTACTTGCCTGGCAAGCGGAGGGAGAGCTCCAGCTGCCGACTCGGGCGTGGGCGGGACGACGCTCCTGAGACTGCTCCGGGCGCCCTGGGGCCAAGGAGCTCCGTTGCCTCTGCGTTGTGCCCTACTTAGCGTGATCTGATTCCTCTCAGGAGCCTCTGGGCAATTATTTTTAGCCCCTGGAGTCAAGGTCCAGGCCAAAGTGGGTGGAGCTGGAGGAAGAGAGTTGGATCACAGGAGGGCTAGCACCTGCCACCGGGTCTTCTTCAGCGCGCCCAGCCCCCTCCCGGGCCTCCCGGACTCTGCACGCCCAGGAGACCGGAACGTCAGCTGCTTGGGCCAGGCCTTCCGCCCGGACCGACCTCTCAGCGCAGCGCTGGTAGCGCTCTAGTCGCCCAAGCCCGGCTGAGGCCGAATCAGTTGGAACCCTCCCCCGCATCCGCTCGGCCCATTACCGTCTGCAGCCGGCCTCCGCGGCGCTCGGGACCCAGCCGGCCAAGCCGCGATCCCTCACATCCCTGGGGAAGGCGATCCCTCTCAGGCAGCGACGCAGGCGAAAGGCGGACTGACTCCCGCCCACCGGTCGCCCACGGTTTCAAGCGCCGCAGCCGCGCTCCCGTGGGGGCCAAGGCCGCCAGCGCGCTCCGCTGCGCCCGCGCCGGTCCGCCAGCCACAAGCGGCCACCCGGCCGAGCAGCGTGCGGGGCGGGGACACACGCGCCGCGTCCCCGCGTGCCCCGCCCCGCCTGGCCCTACCGCCTCCTTGGTGAGCCCCGCAGCCCCCGCCCTGCTCCCGCGGCGCTGCTTGTCCGGCTTGGGCCGGGCTGCCCGAGCTGCCGGCGCCAAGAACCCAGGTGCCGGCGCCGGGGCCGCACTGCGCAGCCGCAGCCCGAGACCGGCCTTAGCGCGCTGCGGAACCTGAGCTGGGGCGCGCAACTTTGTTTTTATATGAATCTTACTAGAGTAAGCACATTTCATCAAACAGTTGCAGAAACATTCCAGCTCCTTTTCACCAGCCAGTAGTGGAGTGCGTTTTCCTCAGTCCGCCTTGTTCAGCTCTAGATAGTCTGTTTTCTGTAGTTACCTTCGCAGGCAAAGGGGTGCTGCCTCCTGCAGGTATAAATTAATGGAAATTCCTTTCCGTGCCACCCAGTAAGACACTCCCCCCATCTTTTATCTCTCTCCCCATTTTTGTACTGGAAATTGAACCCAGGGGCACTTTACTACTGGTCTACATCTCAAGCCCCTTTACGCATTTTAAAATTTTTGAGGAGGGTGTGTGTGTGTGTGTGTGTGATGAGGACACATCTCACTAAAATGCCCTGGCTGACCTTGAACTTGAGATTCTCCCGCCTTAGCTTCCCAAGTAGTTAGGATTACAGGCATATGCCACCACGCCTGTCTCAAATCCTTTCTATTTATTTGAAGCAACATAAAGCAACAGTGACCAACACTCTGATTCAGCAGGATCATCAGGCTCACTTGGAAGACCATAGTCAGGCTCCCCATTTTAGAATTATTCCAGATGCCACTGGGTATGGATATTAGCATCACCTGGCTTTCCCTCTAAATTCAGAAACTAGTCCACCTTTTCTAGTTCATTAAGCCAAGTGTGGCAAGAAATGTTGGCAACCACATAGATGCCGCCCTGAATGACCAGCATGATGCCCAGGGCAAGATGGCTGTCTACCATCTTTCATGCTAGAGAGTATACTCTTATTCTAGTTTGTGTTTGACAGGGTAGTGAGAGAAGCACCTGGTTAGAATTTCCAACCCACCCCCCCCCACCGCCCCCAGCTCTCCTTTGCCTACATAGGTTCCAGTAGCCTAATTTGCTGAAGGCAGGCATGAGAGGGAAAATGGAAAAGTGAGAAATATGTGATTTGGGTCTCTTACAACCAATTGGGGTCTCTTCTCCCCATCCCAGCCTTTAAGCTGAACATTTTATTTAATAAGAACTACCCATCCTGGAAATTGCCACAGTGAGAATAGACATTGCCTGGCTGGGTGTGGTGGCCCATCCTGTAATCCTAGCAACTCTGGGGGATGAGGCAGGAAGATCACAAGTTCTAGGCCAGCCTGGGCAATTTAGTGAGACCTTGTGTTCTGTTTAAATTTGTGTGTGTGTGTGTGTGTTCGTTCCAGGGATTGAACCCAGGGGTGCTAAACCTCTGAGCTACATCTCCAACCTTTTTATTTTTTATTTTGAGATAGGATCTCACTAAGTTGCTTAGGGACTCTCTTGGTTGCTGAGGCTGGCCTTGAACTTGTGATCCTCCTGTCTCAACCCCACCACCCGCTGCCCCATGCTGCTGGGATTGCAAGCATGTGCCAGCACCCTCAGCTTGAAATTTTTATAAAAGGGCTGGGAATGTAGCTCAGTGGTTCAATCCCCAGCATAGGGTGGGGAGGAACATGAAAAAAAAAAAGAATACAAACTGCCTACTTTATGTGTGTATGTGTGTGTGTGTGTGTGTGTGTGTGCACGCTCCCTTGAGAGTTGAGCTTTAGTTGTCCTTTTATCTTTTTTAGTTGATCTTTTAAGAAATTCAATCTATGTTTTATCTGGGTGCAGTAGTGCACACCTGTAATCCCAGCAATTTAGGACGCTGAGGTGAGTGAAATACAAGTTCAAGGCCAGTCTGGGAAATTTAGTAAGAGCCCCATCTTAAAACAGAAAGTAAAAAAGGGCTGGAGATTTACTCAATGGTAGAATGTTGGTGGGATTGATGCCCAGTACCCACCCCGAATCCATTTTGTGTTTTGTTGTTGCTGCTACCTGTCAGTGACACAGGGCATAAAATGTCCATCAATGTCCCAAGTGGTTCCCCACTGCTGGGTACTCTTGGTTATAAAGGCAAGCAGCTTCCTTGCCTAATTGGATGTGTCTGAAGAATACAAATATGTGACATTGTCCACTTAGGACTCCAAACAATATGGCCTACATCCACAGTGCATAATGGGAATTACTGTGCCATACCTGGAAAAACCTATATATTGCAATCAACTTCTAGTGGTACCCTCAAGGTGGAAATAGGTGGCCCATCTAGTCTATTTGTCAGGGCCAGTGAAGTAACCAGATTATGTGCTCTGGAGTTCTCTTTGCCACTCAACTATATGGAGTATCTAGGCACATTAGAAGGACTTCTTTGGCTTCACATTCTGGGATCACAAGTGCTTATTCTGGCCCTAGCCATAGACAAAATATCATATCCTATGTGATAGTGGCTGTGGCTTCTATTTGAGAGATCTGGCCAGCTGGTTGCTTCCATTGACATTCTTGACAAAGGGTCCTTTTCCATGGGCATCTCTCTTGGACGTGTGTCCCACTCAATCTATTGCCAGAGTCTCTCCAACTTCTATAGGATTTGGGACTTAACCAGTTATACTGCTTCCAGGCTAGCTCATTGGCTATTGCTCATGAGTCAGTGAAACCATAGTGAGGTTCACCGTGAGAGGTGTTTTCTCATACCAAGCACCACAGCCTAAATCTCTGCTATTGGGTAGAATTCCCTTTTCCATGCAAATTTTTAAACTGTTATTTCTGTAGCTGCACAGCAGCAGCTATTTTGTACATTAACTGGGCTGTCAGTTCTTAAGTCATGTCCAGGTTCTCAGGAGACTCAATGTACTTCGGACCCAAGAAACCCAAGATACTGGCAGTCTTTGGTCTTTGTCTCAGGGTTAGCCACACCTTTACCTTTTTTTTTTTTTTTCTAACTCAGGAGCACTCCACCACTGGTCACATCTCCAGCCCTATTTTGTATTTTATTTAGATAGGATCTCACTGAGTTGCTTGGTGCCTCCCAGTAACTGAGGCTGGCTTTGAACTCATGATTCTCCTGTCTCAGCTTTCCAAGATGCTGGGATTATAGGTCTGTACCACTGCACATGGCCTAGCCTGGCCTCTTTTTATGGAGGAAAGAGATTCCACAGATGCCTGGTTCATTCTTTTCTTGGAACACTTCCTCTTTAGTGAATAATGCTTGGTAAGCAATCTGGCATTGTGGCACACTCTTGGGAGGCTGAGGCAGGATGATCCAAGGTTGAGGCCAGCCTGGGCAATTTAGCAAGACCCTGTCTCAAAATAAATAAATTAATTAAAAGGACTGGTTTATCAGACAAGTGCCATGTGTCCTAAAACCCACAGATGCCTTTGCCTCCAGGTGATGTCCTTCTTCCACGGGTTCTAGTCTGTGTAGTTGTCAGTCATTGACACTTTTCATCCAAAAGCCTGGTGTTCAGGGCCCCACTCATAGGTGGTACCTTTTGGGTAACCATGTGTAGTGGGCTGAATACATCCTGTTGATAAAACCGTCTCTCATGCTCAGACATGCCCATCGGATGTTTTACCTCCTTTGGTTTGCTGGAAGTTTTAAGGCCAGTTGTTTTGTTCTTTTTCTTTTTTTTCTTGGGAATTGTCCTCTGGGTATGGGTCCACATGGTGCCCAAGAACTTTCATGTCTGGCCTCTGTATCAGGTTAATTTTTCAGCTTTGGTCAGCCCATCCAATCTAAGGAAGTTTGTACAAATTAATTCTCTAACTGTATGATGTTATCAACATAGTCATACTAATATACTTCTGATGGGATCTCATATACTTCTCTATGTCTGGCCAGCTGGCCTATCAGTTGGTGGCAAATCATAGGGGAATGCAGGTACCTCTGTGGCAATACTATAAAGATGCATTGTTGGGTTAGGGTTATGGGAGAGTGCCTGGCACCTGCAAGGCAATGGGTTTGATTCTCAGCACCACATAAAAATAAAGGAAGCATTCAATTTGATGTTGTTTTTTTTTTTTAAAAAGATGTGGGCTGGAGTTGTGGTCCAGTGGGAGAGTGCTCACCTAGCACATATGAGGCACTGGATTCGATCCTCAGCACCACATAAAAATGAGAAAATATATTGTGTGTCTACCTATAACTAAAAGAATATTTTTTAAAAAAATAACTTATTAAAAAAAAAGATTCGTTGTAACTCAAGCCAATGAGAGTAAAGTAGTTTTCATCTTCCACATGCAGTGGAATGATCAAAAAGGCATTAGTAGGAGCTGGGATTGTGGCTCAGTGGTAAAGCACTTACTGGGCATGTGTGAGGCCCTGGATTCAATTCCAAGCACCACATATAAATAAATAAATACAATAAAGGTCCATTAACAACTAAAAAAATATTTAAAAAAAAAAACCAAAAAGGTATTAATAGCCTGTAATCCCAGTGACTCACATATCTGAGGCAAAAGAATTGCAAGTTCAAGGTCAGCCTCAACAGTTTAGTGAGACTGTCTTAAAATAAAAAATTAAAAGGGCTGTGGTAAAGATACTCTGGGTTCAATTTCCAGTACCGAAAAACAAAACAAAAATTGACATGAGTACTCTGCATACTAGGTGACTTCGGTCTGTACAATGAGCTCTGTGATATGAAATAATCCATAAGATGCCAAAGTCAGGGGCCTTTTGTACTGGCCACTCAGGCTCTCTCCACCCACTGTTCTTTATTGCTTTGCAGTAGCCACTTGGCTAGGTCTAGATGGTGAGCATTTGTTCCTGTCTAAATCCCACTCCAAGGACCTGGTCCTCCAACTTAGCCTGTTTGAGCAGTGGGGAAGGGATAGTGCTGAGAGTGGTGGGTCAAACAGTAGTCCCAACAGCACAAACCTCAGCTTGATGTCCCTCCTGTCAGTCCACAGGAAATGTTAAAGCTGGTCCAGTAAATAGCCCAAATCTTTAAGTCCCATAACCCTCCCAGAGCCCTGTGAGAAATAGAATATTCCTTCATAGGTAGAATCATCACTTGCCTCTTCAGGGACTACCTGATGTAACAGCCAGATCAATGTGTCCTTTTAGATGGTTTCTCCCCTATCTTGGTCTATAGTGCATTATCTGGGCCTTTCCCAAGGCTTCCATTGTGGGAAAGGTGTTGCTTGATAGCTGAATAGTTTTCTGAAAAATATCCCCAGGGTGTAAGAGAAGATTAATTTTCCCTCCACAGCCTGATATGTCAATTAAAATGTGTAGTCTGATGAGGATGACTATTTCATCATCTGGGCACTCATGATCTCCATTATGAATTCAGGCTGAGGTCACAGTGGCATAATAGTGGCAGCCTCCTCCAGTACTATTCAGATGATAGGAACTCATCTCAGATAGGCAACTATGTCATGACAACTATAAAGACCCAGTGCAACAAGCCCTGATTTTCTCTTTATCTTTTCCTCCTTCCTTTGTCATTGATTGTGGCCAAAAATGGCCTGGAGCATGGGGTCAGTCCTAAAGTATCCACACAACTTCTGTTCCTTCCCATTCAGGAGATCTTTCGAGAACCCTCACTTGGATGATTCATACTTCTATAGTCAATTAGACTTTTCGCCAAATCTTTTGTTGCTCCTAGTAAAAGTGGATCTCAGTACATTTCTGAGCGACTAGTTGCCTTTGATCACTCTGTCCCTTGAGGGTAGCCCTCTTAAGATTTCAATGGAAAGTCTGGCCTGTCTTTTTTTCTCTTAGCTCTTTCAAATTCTGCTCTTCAGAGATTTTCAGGACTTTATAGACTCCCAACATACAGAGGTTCAAACTCTGGCAGATACAAGGAAGAGAGACCAAGACCAACTCTTACTGATGACCCAAATCAATGAACACCTTAGGGAAGACAATGGCTGCCTATCACTAACTGACCTTGGAAGCATTCTTTCCCTTGAAATTGTGGGTCATCTGGTCTTCATTTCTTCCACCACTCTCCATTCTCTTTAAAAATAAGATCATTTCCATCTTATCTGCTTTTTCCCAGCTGTTGCAATGGAGGAAGGGGCATAGCCCACAGAGACCTACCACAGCCTACCCAGAAGCAGAAGTTCTTTAGTTCTGTTTTTTTAACCACTTCCATTGGAGAAATTATTTCTATTACTATTTTCACTTAATCACACTCCAACTTAATTTCCTTTTAAAAATTTTTTAATTCTACCTTTTCTTTTTAATTTTTTGTAGTTATAGATGGACAGAATGTCTTTGTTTATTTTTATGTGGTGCCGAGAATCGAACCCAGTGCCTCATGCATGCTAGGAAAGCACTCTACCACTGAGCTACAATCCCAGCGCATCCTTTTTAAAAATTTTTTTACAAATTTTTATTGGTGCATTATAACTGTACACAATGATGGGATTCCTTTTTTTTTTTTTGGTGTTAGGGATTGAACTCAGGTCCTCATGAATTTTGGGAAAGTGCTGAACTACACCTCCAACCGTCAATTTCCTCTTTTTAAACAAATTACAGGGCTCTCTTTTATCTCTTTGAAAACTTATATTGTCCATTTTCCTAACTTCCTTGAGGGATGGCTATTTTACTTCATGGTTTATATTACTTGTTTTCTTGTATTATAAATCTTTCTCATTTTCTTTCTTTTTTTAGTTCAGCCCTATTACTTTACTTATTTACTACTTATGGTACAGAGTATTGAACTTGGGGATGCTCTACCACTGAGCCATATCCCCAGCCCTTTTTATTTTTTATTTTGAGCAGGTCTCACAAAGTTGCTGAGGCTAGCCTGGAACTTGCGATCCTTTTGCTTCAGCCTCTGGAGTTGCAGGGATTATAGGCATGTGCCGCCCCCCATACCTGGCCTACATTGTCTCAACCTTCACTGTTTCTACTGGGAATGTTTCAGATGACTACAGATTTCAGTGGAACCCCTCCCAGTAAGGGCTCCCCAATCTGCCATCCCATTGCTCAGGAATCTTTTTTTTTTTTTAAGAGTTTAGTTGTCAATGGACCTTTATTTCATTTATTTATATGTATTGCTGAGACTCAAAACCCAGTGCCTCACACATGCTAGGCAAGTGCTTTACCACTGTGATACAACCCCAGCCCCAAGAAACTCTTGAGAGATGAACTCCTTAGAAAAGGCATTTCTTTCTCTTCAGCCACATCAGTCTCCTGGAGTGGAACCCTAACCTTCCCTCTCTTCCCAGCTCTTCTTGAACTGTATGTGACTGTTATACACATCCACAGTGTCAGTTACTCTCTAACATTTATAAGCTGATGACTTTCATATCTCTGTTGCCAGCCTTTACCTCCATCTGGGCTTTCAGACTGATCTGCATACTTTTTATCTCCACAGGCCCCTAAGCAAAACATCTCTGAACTCAACATCCTCCGTCCTCCCCACAGCACAGCTCCTCTTGTTGAGATCCTGTTTTGGGGAACAGTGCCACCATCTGGATCTAGCCAACGCATGTATAATACCCTCAGCTCTTACCCTCTGCCATGTCCCACATCCAGCTGCCACCAAATTATATCAGCTCTGCTCCATGAGTTCTGCCTATCCTCTTTCTTCTCACAGCCACTACAGAGGTCTTGCAGGCCTTCTAAGATGTGCCCTCCAGAGGACCACACATGCCAAGAGTACTGGATGGATAAAAGTGGTTTTATTATTTCTTCCTGGGAGAGGAAGCCCTGGCAAGAGCAGGGACACAGAGCCAACACAGGGCTGCATACTTTTCACAGCACAGCTGCTGGTGACTGGAGTGCAAGAACATGGAGAGCTGTTCAACAGTGTGAACGGGAGCTGCCGAGGAGATACACTCTTGCCTGAAGAAGCCACTGGCTTGAGAAGGGGGTCCCAGCCTCATCGATGCCGCTTTCGAATGCTCTGCAGCTCCTGGTAGATGGTGCTGAAGCTGGGCCGCTGCCCAGGCTCATAGGCCCAGCACTGCTCCATGAGCCTGAACACAGCATCAGGGCACAGCTCTGGGCAGGGCAGGCGACCCCCTGTGAGGACAGGCACAGCACACTAGGCATGAGGAAGGGTTCCTGGGGCAGCCTGTGAGCAACAGGAGCTGATGAAGATGTACTGTCCCTAAAGCCACTTTTGTTCAACAAAACCTCAAGAAACAGAGGTTGGATTTTTTTTTTTTTAAGGTATTAAGGATTGAACCCACGGCCTCATGCATGTTAAGCAAGCATTCTATCACTGAGCTACATCCCCAGCCCTTTTAATGTTATTTTGAGACAGGATCTCACTAAGGTGATGAGGGTTTTGCTAAGCTGCTGAGGCTGGTTTCAAACTTGCCATCCTTCTGCCTCAGCCTCCCAGGTCACTGGGATTACAGGTATGCACCACCATGCCCAGCTGAGGCCTGTGTTCCCACTATGTGCTACTGTGTGATCTCTGCAAGCCTGTTTTTCTATCTACAAAAGGAACATATTAATCTCCACCTTATGTGTGGCAAGGAGTAAATGAAGTAACTTTTGGCCTAGTATTAACAGGTGCTCTGCTCAGTGGCAGCTCCGGGATTATTCTTATCCTGCCCCAGTGGGAAGGTTAGGAAGTTAAGGGAAGAAGAGGTGTCCTAGTGGAGCATGGGAAAGAGGGTGTGGCCCTAAGGTTGCTGTCACACACAGGCTTGCCTTACCCGTTTCCACAAACTCTCGTGTTTGCTGATTGCTGAGGTTGGGATAGGGCGAGGCCCCCAGGCTAAAGGTCTCCCAGAGCAAGATGCCAAAGCTCCACACATCACTCTCAGAGGAGTAGCGGCCTGCAGAGGAGGTGGGCAGCATGAGAGAGCTGTCCACATCCATAGAGTAAGATTCCACCCATGCCTAATCTTCAATGTTGCAAAGCAGGGTTGGAAAGGGCCAGATACCATAGTTAAGGGCCTCGGGTGCGGTCCACTTCACAGGGACTTGTCTGAGACCCCCTGAAGCTGCGTAGATTCCATCAGCTTCCTCTCGGGACATCCCAAAATCACTGATCTTCAGAACGTTCTTCTCTGTCACCAGGCAGTTTCGAGCAGCCAAGTCCCTGGGTGAAGCAGGGTCAGGGTCTCATTTAGCTAATGTTTCCTGCCTTACCTGGGCCAAGCCCTCCAAAGTCATGGATAGAAGCTGCTGCTTGTCCCAGGCTAGTCTATCAGGAGAGGCTGACTCCACCTCTGGAGCTGAAGCCTGATAACCAAGGGGTTCAGGGATGACAGCTCTTCCTGACTAGGGGCATCAGGGCTGTAGCCCACTCACCGGTGGATGCAACACTTGCTTTCCAAGTATTCCATGCCTGCAGCTGCATCCCCCACCATCTGCAGCAGAGTCTTCACCCTCAGGCGGGCTCCCTCTGTCCGCAAGAAGGTCAGAAAATCTCCTCCTGGAGGTGGGGGCGGCTATGAGCCTCCTGGGGGGGCAGCCACCTTGCCAGGCTGAGTTCCCCACCCTGGAGATTAGCAACCCTGCTCACCCTGCACAAGCTCCATGACAATGTAGATGGGCTGCTTCTGGGTGCAGACACCAATGAGACGCACAATGTTGGGGTGGCTGTACTGCTTCAGGATCCTGCAGGGCACTTCGGCTTAGGCACCATGTGGCCTGGGCCCACCTTCCATCTCCTCCAGAAACCCCAGGGAGGATGGGAGAAGGGCTGGAGAGAAAAGCTTAACCTCTGGAGGCCAACAGCCCTAGATGTGTAGCCTTGGCAGCCTCTACCTCTTGGCACTATGGGGGGTGCCACCCAACTGTGAGGGGGCAAGAGGATTAAATGACACCACAGAAGTCAAGCATTTTATGCCTGGCCATGCACAGGGGACACTTTCATATATGGAACCTCTGGTTGTCCTTATTTTGTCACCCACCTTGCTTCCTGCAGAAACTTGGCCTTGAGGTCAGGGGGGAGTGTCTCTCGACAAGACTTCACTGCCACCAGAGTATTATCAGCTCTCAGGCGTCCGCTGAATACTTCACCGAAGTTCCCCTGAAATGGTCTAGGGCTCCTACCAAGGCTTCCCTATGCCACTGTCCTTTCTCCACTCAGGGGGATACCCACCTTGTTCCTGCCCCCTCTACATTCAGCCCCCACATTCACAATTGCTCACTCTAGCTCTCTAGGAGTTTACTCCCTAGTTAGGGAACTGAGAGAGGATGGGCAGGAAAAGCCACCTGTGACATGCCACATTCTCCAAGAGAAATGACATGGAAAATTAAAAAAACACTTTCCTTTGTGTTTGAAAAACATTTTGATTTTTAGGAAAGTGACTTCCTTTCCAGGCAGATATTTTACAGTTCATATTAAAGAGTATCTTTCCACATATGCAAGAGGCCTCTGAGGAGGAGCTGGGGTGGAGGTGCCAATGACAGAGCTGTCTTCTGGGGAGTTTGGGGGTGGGTACTCTACTTCCTGGAGGACAGGGCATGGCAATGGTTAGGAAGCAGTGGGGCTGGAGAAAAAGAGCAAGCCAGGAGGGGGCGCTGGTAGAGCATCCTCCTAGTGGAGGCCCAACTTACCCGCCCAATCTGCTCGCCTAACACCAGGTCCTCATGGTTTAGTACCCACTTGTCCTGGGGAAAAGGAGTTAGAAAGTCAGAAATCAATGATGAGAGGGGATGCTGGGCTCTGGGAAGGACTGAACAGCTCTCCAACTGACACTATCTTTCATTTCTTGGAGCTTTAGTGTGTTGGTCTGTCTAGTACAATTGAATATCAGGATCATGCTCAGGTGACTCCAGGGAGCAGCCAGGTGCCTTCACCAAGTGAGCACCAGTCATCTTTGCACAGCCTTTGGAGTGGGAGTGGCCTTGACATTCCAAACCTAGAAATCTGGCCAAATTGTGGAGTGAGGGCTCCCTTCACATTCTGCACGTAGACCAAAGACACAGCAGGTCCTTACTGCTCCTACTCTGGAGGGTCCTGACCCATGGTCAAGCCTTACCACAAGTAGCACAGCCAGGTTTGGCACAGGCTCACCTTAGGCACAGGCCTGTACAAGACAACACCGCTCTTCTTGGTGAGAGGCTGCCGGGAGCACAGCAGGTGGTCAATGAGTAATGGGATGCTGGGGAAGCCATCCCCTTCTAACCGGTACAGGTTCTGTGGAACAGAGTGACTGGGGTCAGCAGGTTCCATTGCTGAGGGGGCCTGAGTCTTGGCAGAAGGCAGGAAGAGCAGCAGGGGAGAAAGGGCCTGCCTGGGACAAGAGGCAGAGAGGCCTATGGAAAGGATATGAGCATGTGGGACACAACTCTGCTCCCCTCCTTAGTGGAGGATAATGCTTAAGCCTCTATTACATTGCAAAGACTTGGTCCTCTTGATAGTTCCTTCCAGCTCAGCTAGGGAGGCATCTAAGACATAGCAGCTACTCCCTACCCTCTAGAGGTTATCAGTCTCAAAATCATTCCACTGGGAAGGAAAAGGGAAGGCTCAGGTCCCAGCCTCACTCACGTCCAAGGACTGGATGATGAAGTGCCGGGGCTGGCCATCCCACAGCACTGAGAGCACATACTCCTGCTTGCCCTGGCTCTCCCGCACCAGAAAGTCCCCAGAGTGTGTCAGCAGCTCAGCCACCTCTGCCCGTGGGATGGCCCCATGGTACCATAGCTGCTCATGCAGGGGCTTCTGCACCTCTGGAACAAGCTGTAGCGGTGGAGGAAGCTGGGAAGGGGAGAAGCAAGTGGGGTCACTCAGCCAGCTTGCCAGGGAAAGCCACTGGGACAAAGGGTATCTCTCCCCCATCCAATAAGCTCTCAGTCCTTACAATCACAGGGAGTGGCACACAGAGCCATCTGTGGGCCCTTGGATCCCTCTGGGGAAGAACTGGGATGGGAAGCCCAGACTAGCAGTCCCAAACCAAACTGGTGCCTTTTCCTCCAGGCCACAGAGGTCCCTGCCCACTCCTGGAGCAAGTAGAGCCCTGGGTTAACCAAAGCTGCTGGTCCCTGCAGTACACGGGGGGGTGGGGGGTGGGGGGGGTGGAAGGAGTACAGGGGTAGCAGGATTTGGGGGCATCAGCAGCCAGGACTCCTAAGGAAGACATGGACACCTCAAGCTGCTGGGCCTGCAGCTTGGCTTGGCCACACAGTGCTACCTGCAGCCTCTGCAGCACCTCCTGCAGTGCCTGCTTGCCTAAAACCCAGGAGGCTGAAGTAGAAAGATCACAAGTTCAAAGTCATTCTCAGAAATTTAGCAAGGCCCTAAACAACATAGTGAGAACTTGTCTCAAAATAAAAAATAAAGACAGGGCTGGGGTTGTGGCTCAGTGGTAGAGTGCTTGTCTAGCATGCATGAGACACCAGGTTCAATCCTCAGCACCACATAAAAATATTGTGTCCACCTAAAACTAAAAAATATTATAAAATAAAATAAAATAAAGACAGCTGGGATTCGGCTCAGGGGTAAGCACCCCTGGATTCAGATCACCAAGGAGGGAGCCTAGAGGAGTATGTCTGAGACCCCTGATCTGGCCTATCTCTTAGGACATACAGAGGTATGAACCAGGCTGACCGCCACTCACCGAGAACTTGGGGCGGAAGATTCCTGAGAAGTGGCTCTTGAGGATCTCCAGCGTAGGTGTCCTTCCCCCCTCTCGCTCCTGCTCCTGAGGCCAGGGACAGACGTCAGCAGGTGGCCAGGCTTGGGGAGGGGGAGGGCAAAAATGAGGAGCACAGCCCCCGTGGGCAGGCATGGCTGGCAGGCAAGGGCAATAGCAGGTAGCTCACCGAGGATGAGGTGGAATGGCGGTCATCTTGCAGGAGCAGCACGGCTGGGGGCTCGCCAGGGCCCAGCTGCTCCAGCTTGGTCTGCAGCAGCTCCTGCTGGGCCTGTAGCTTGGCTTGGCCACACAGTGCTACCTGCAGCCCCTGCAACGCCTCCTGCAGTGCCTGCTTCTTGCCTAGCAGCTGCACCCTGCAGGCAGAGGGTAGGTAGGAGGGTAGGACAGAGACATGGGCTCAGTCCCCAGCTGGAAGCAGCAGCAGGTAGGGTAGGCAGAACAGAGCATGGCCAGGAGCTGCTGCAGGGGGGCCTACTCACCGCTCCCGGGGGTGAGTGTTCTGCTCCTCACTCTGGAGCTCATGCTGCAGCTGACTGACCACCTCCTTTCGGTTCAGCACAGTCTCAGTGGCCACAGCCAGGTCATCTGTCACAGAGGTCAGTCTGTATCCACAAGAAGAGCAATGTTAGAGCCACACTTGCCACAAGCATCCCTACAGAGCCAAGCAAGCCTGGTTGCCTAGCCATAGCTCAGTATGGGCAGAGTTTCCTCCCCACCCTGACACACGGACACCCATGGTCTGTCAGGAGCCCGCCCTGGCCCAGAAGCCAAGCCACCACACACGTGTGTTGCACACTCTCCACAGTTAGCTCGTTCAGTTGCAGCTCCCCAGGCTCCAGCTGTTCACCCTCCTCAAGCAGCGACTCATCAAAGGTGACACAGGGTGGGATGTCAGGGGCAGACCTATGGGTGACATGACCCTGTCAGTGAACAGGCCAGTAGCCCTTGTGTCAAGCAGGTGCAAGGATGGGCTTACCCATACTGCCGTAGGAAGCCTTGGTACTCAGCCTCCGGCTGGATGCGGGCAACAGCTGCAGCCATCCCCCGGTGAATGGCGACCACCTCATCCTGCACCAGACTGCTAATCTCCAGGTATTCCTGTAGAATCTCCTTCCTGCCCCGGAGATGCAACCCCCAGTCAGGGAGACCTCAGGCTAGGAGAGGCAGGCGGTTCAGTCTAGGGCATTGGGTTTGGAGGCTGCGCTGGGATTGACTCCACCTCAGCTAATGGCAAATTATTTAACCTCTCCTTGATCTTCTACTTTCTGATGTGTGTGATGTACACACTGGCAGTTGCATTAAGGATCCAAAGTAATCCTGAATACAGATGTCTGGTACTTAGGAAGTACTCTGGCAGCCAGCTTAAAATTGGGACTCTGGGTCCCCAATAAATGTATAAGCCACAGCACCCCTGAACTCCAGCCTCATGTCTTCATCCACCTATCCAAAATGTCCCATTGAACACTGATCTCTCAGACACCCCAATTATACTCATTTAAAAATGAATTCCCAGTCCCCAAAACCTCTTCCTTCCATATCCTTCTCTACACAAGCTAATGGCAACTCTAAGCTCTAAGCTCAGTCCTTAGAGACAGGCTTGATTCCTCTATTTCACACTCTAATTCCAATCATAAGGAAATCCTACCACTCTACCTTCAAAATATACCCAGGACCTGACCACTTTTTCATCTCCATCGCTACCACCTTGGCCCAGTAGCCAAGATCTGTAGCTAGGATCCATGCAAGACACTCCTGTCTGACCTCTCTCCTCTGGTCTCACCCCTTAAAAGTCTATTCTTAACTCAGCAGCCACAGCAACTTTATAGAGCATGTCACTATGGTTTACCCAGAGCTGTTTACCTCACAGTGGCCTGCTGAACCCTCTCATTGAGCCCCCAACCTTTGGCTCCTCTAGTCCATGTCTGATTCTCCCCTCCCCTTGTTCTGCAGAAAGTCCACTGATTCTTTATTACCCTCTAAAGCTCTCCCACTATAGCACCTAATCACTCACTGACCCTCTTTCTGGAATAGTCTTTCTCCAGAGAGTCCCATGGTTCACTCCATATCTCTCTTAATTCTCTGTTGGGATGTCACCTCCTCATGATCTTTTTGTTTTCAGTGGTACTGGGGATTGAACCCAGGAGTGCTCTACCAATGAGCTAAATCCCTAACTTTTAACTTTTTATTTTGAAATAGTATCTGGGTAAGTTGCTCAGACTGGACTTGATGCTTCTGCCTTTCTTCATAGTCGCTGGAATTACAGAACATCACCATCTCAAAGAAGCCTTTTCAGAGCACTCTACTTAAAATTGCAGCTCCTCCCCTGCCCTCCTAACCCTCTTCCCTAAGTTTAGTTTTTTTCATAGCACTTATCACTCGTAACATACTTCCTATTTTATTTCTTCCCTCCCTCCCTTCACTAAAATGGAAGATTCTGAGGACAGATGTTTGTCTATATTTTTCTCTGCTACATTCCAGAGTGTAGAACAATGCTCAGAGAATTTAACTAAACCCTAGGACTCTTTCCTCTCTTGCTTTGCAGAAGGTTCACTGGCCCTTTGCTACCCTCTAAAGCTCTCTTGCTGCTGCAACTATACACTTGCTATAAGGGGCCCTAGAATAATGTAATTTGGATTAAGTCGACTGGCTAAGGACCCATCCTCACTCAATTACATGGTCCATGCTTTCACAGGATTGAATTTTCTAGGCCCTGCTTCTGGGCCTAGTAGTGGGTTTAGGACTGTTACAAGGATAGGGTGGGACTGCGGGCTTACAGGATGTGCACCATCTCCTCATGTAGGTCCTGCAGCGACTGCAGCAAGCTAGGCAGCATGAGCTGGTGGTGGTGCTGGTGGTGCAGCTGCGCAGCCCGCACACCAAGCACATAGCGGTTATGATGGGCAAAGAGTTTCCAAAGGCTGCGCACATACTTGTCTTTGGCCTTGTCACGGTCCTTGTCTGCAGGTGGGAGGGAGTGAGGTGTGGAGAAAAGTGTCAGCATAGGGGCTTAAGTAGTCCTCACTTTTGGGACACCCACAGGCAGGTGAGCACTGGTTTGGGATTCCCTCCCTGCCAGCACGGGAAGCCACAAACCTTTGCTGGCCTCTTGGTATTTACGCCTGGCCTGGGCACTGTCCCGGGCCAGGGCTCGATATTGGCTTTTCAGCTTCTCAATGTCCTGGTTGTGGGTCTGGGGAGAGAGGGATGGTCAAAATAAGGAGGAAGGTCCCTAAGCACAGGTGATTCCTTCTTGAGGTAAAGCCCTGGCAAGGTCCTGCCAATGAGTCAGGAAGCATATCTAGGCCCATCCTCCTGGAAGGGTCTGGAGACGTAAGGAAGCTGGCTGCAAGGTTTAGGGACAGAGCAGCTGAGTTAAAGACAGCCCACTACGGGAGGCAGACAGATGGCCTGGGCCTGTCCCTCTATACCTTAAGAATGCTATCCTGGAACTATATAGGTCCAGCTTCAGGAATATGCAGCCCATATAGTCATGTATGGCTCCATATGCAGATAGGTCTTGTGTGTGGTTCGCATGCACTCCTGTTCCCATATTGTAAAAAAAATTTTTTTTTGGTAGTGGGGATTGAACCCAGGGCTCGACAAGCACACTTCTACTGAGCTACATCCCCAGCCCTTTTAAATTTTGAGACAGGGACTCACTCAGTTGCCCAGGTTGGCCTTCAACTTTCACTCCTCCTGCCTCAGCCTCTTGAGTAGCTAGGGTTATAGATGTGCATTAACACACCATGCAATGTCATATTGAAATTCCCAATGATTTCTTAAAAGAGGCCCCACATTGTCATTTTGTACTGGGCTTGGCAAATTATGTTCCTGGCCAATAAGAACAATAGATGGCAACCGAGAGCGGAGTTCTCATCCCAGTTCTCCTGTTTAGATGCTGAGACACCTTGGACAAGCTCCATCCATCTTCTCTGAATCTCAGTTTCCCCATCTGGAACTGAGCTAAATGTATAAACTAGAGTATCTTTTCTCTTAAAGAGCCAGAAAGTATTTCAGGCCTGTAAGCCATAAAGTCTCTGTAGCAATTATTCAATTCTGTCATTGTAGCTCTCTCTATAGTAGCCATAGATGATATGAAAACAAACAGGCATGGTTGTGCTCCAGTAAAACTTTATAAAATAGGGCAGACCCTAGTGTCTAATCCCAGCAACTCAGGAGGCAGAAGCAGGAAGACCCCAAGTTTTGAGGCCCAAATTTAAAAATGGTCAGGGGTGGTGGCACACTCCTATAATCCCAGTGGCTTGGACAGATGAGGCAGGAGGATCACGAGTTCAAAGCCAGCCTCAGGAATGGTGAGGCGCTAAGCAACTCAGTGAGACCCTGTCTCTGAATAAAATACAAAATAGGTCTAGGGATGTGGCTCAATCCCCAGTCTCCTCCCGCCACCAAAAAAAATTTCAAAACGGCTGGGGATTTTCCCGAGAAGGAGTGTGAGGCCAGGTTGGCCACCAGGGGCTGCTGTGGGTCTGTGGCAAAGCCAGGCTCTGTGCTGGCGCAAGAGGTGTGGTTCCAGTGACACAGTGAATACTTGGACTGAAGCACCCAGAGAAAGAGCAGCTCCCAATCATACAACCTACAATTAAGGAGCTGGTGGAATTAAGATCTAGGCAGGCCAATTTCAGCTGTGAGGGGGCCACTCTGCTGCCCTGTCTCTGGGGCCCTGAGAAAGAGTCCTAAGCTAAAAGCAAACAGAGAGACACTCATTCTTCTCACTGTCTCTGGGATCCATACAGGAGGCAGAGCACAGACCCTGGGCTCCACCTAGGTAGTGACATGCCTCACCCATCCTTGCATTCCCAGCACTATGGCTAGGAACAGACAACACATGGCCAGGCCAGCTGTGCTGCAGGCCAGCCCAAGTGAGGGGGCGGGGGTGGGGGTGGGGAGCTACAGCAAGGCTGGAGCATGCCATCCTGAGGCCAGGCCTGTGGTCAGGGACTTCCACTTCCCCAGTTAATCTAGGGGTTCTAGTTTAAAATCATTCCTTTTAGGCTCCACACTATGACAGAAATGACTGTCTGCTATGTACCCACCTTGGTGAGCTCCTGCTGCAGTTGCTGCCACTGCTCGCTGTAGGTCTTGCGCAGCTGCTGCCGTTCCCTGATCAGGAGGCTCAGCTTGCTCAGGGGCCCTGAGTTCAGATCTTCTGCATGCTGCCGTAGCACCCGGCTCAGACCTTCTGTCTGGCTGGTGATCTCTGCCCATGACTACGCACAGGATGGGGGAGGCAGGGAAGAGTAGACAATGGCTCCCAAGCCTGGGCCTGCCAAATCGCCAACTCCATCCCAGAGAGCTTTAGGAAAGGAAGGGGATGGGCAGGTGTAGCTAGCACCCACAGGAATCCCAGAAACCCACCTGGCTAACAGGGCTGTCAGGGCCGCTACTCCGGCTCTGGCCTCCGCTGTCCTGCAGGGACATGTGGTGAAGAAGTCCTGCATATTCCCTGTCACTCTTGACCCTCTGGGCCATCCACTTCCGCATGCCCTCCAACAGGCGAAGCTCTGCTTCCTGCATCTGCTGCACTGCCCCATGGCCCTGGGGGCTGCACAGCTCTGAGGAGAAGCCCATAGTGGTGTCCTAGGGACAGATAATAGGCCATCACTGGGGGCAAAGCAGCAGCTGGAGATGAAATGAGGGGACAAAGAGGCTGGGGACTACAAGATCAAAAGGGTTGCAGGGCCAGGAGGAGCTGCAAACAGGTAGAAGGTGGGTGGGGTCCTACCCTGCTGAAACAGCAATAGGTACAGGACAGTAGCCTGACCTTGGGCTGGCCTTCATTGCTTCCTATGCCCCCAGTCAAGCCCTAGTGCCAGAGGTCCCCTTTCCAATTGTGGAGCAGGAACCAGTCTGGCGCCAGGGCCATTCCTAGGTCCTTCCATCCAAAAACCAATTAGAGGCCCTCCACAGAGCCAAGCCTAGGAGGGCTGGAGCCTCAGGAGCCTCCTACAGGCTGGAGCCCTGTAACTGTGGCCGCCGGGCCCTTCCGCGGCCCCTACCCCCACCCAAATGGGTGTCAGGCTCTCAGGACGCCTGCCCGGCCCCTGCCCACTACCACCCTGCTTCCCGCCCCACGTCTGTGCGCGTCGTCGCCTGCTGGGCCGCTAGGCTGAAGTTACCGGCGCGGGTAGCTGCTCCTGGGGCGGCCGTGGACCGACTCAAGCCCCGCGCCGACCCCCGGCC